TTTTATTTCAAAATATTAGGGGGTACAAGTGTTCTTGTTACATTGATGAATTGTATAATGCTGAAGTCAGGGCTTTTAGTGTATCGATCACCAGAATAGTGTACACTGTACCCAATAGGTAAGTTTTCATCCCCCACCCCCCTCTTACTCTCTCCCCTTGTTAGTTTCCAATGTCCTTTACACCACTTTATGACCATGCGTAAAAGCCTTTAGCTCCTTATTTTACCTTAATTCTTGAAGAACTTCTAGGTGAACAGTGATTTTCTTTTTTGCATTTTAGAAATATCAATCAATTGGCTTCTGGCTTTCATTGTTTCTATTGAGAAGGCAGCTGTTAGTCTTATTATTGAGCCTTTGGAAACAATGCACCTTTTCTATGCTACTATTTTCTTAAATAGTGTTCTCTCTCTCTCTCTTTCTCTTTTTCTCCCCTCTGCCCCCACTGGTTATTAGCAGTTTTGCTATGATGTATTTAGGTGTGGTTTTTTTTGTATTTATCCTTTCATTTATTTTTTATTTATAACATTTTAATAATTGTTCTCTTCACAGATTCAAAAATCTTTAGCATGCTATGGCTATGGGAAAGGATTTCATCTATTTTTAGTAACAGAGGTGCTTTTATTATATGATCAGAGATATAAACAGAATTCTCAGTGTCAAGAATCCGGGTGCCACGAACAGTTCCTCTGAAATTATACGTCCACAGGATGGAGCCATTCACCACTGTTAAGGTAGCCAGGTGAGCACTTTTTAGGCCCTTACCCCTCACACCACCCAGTCTCCTAACAGTGACTATTTGATATGGGAAATCAAAACAACCTTGAAGTTGCTTTAATGCAAGACAGTTTTCTGGACAACATTCAGCTCTAAAATTGCTTATTCTTCAGCTGCAACAGCCCATGGTGCAAAAGCATTTTGCAAGTTTAATATCCACTATTGTAGACTTTCAATTTTTTTGATTTTATACTTTGGTGTAATAAGAATGAGTAAAACTTGAAAAAAATTCAGATATCTGAGCTGTGGTTCAGTCTCACATGGAGGGAAATTCAAAGGTATACAATCCATGCATCGGTCAGAAATAATTAAAAGCAATTAAAATTTTTATTGCAGCCGCCCTTTAAGAATGCCAAGGGGATGGCAGTGCCTTGTTAATGCATCACAGAGCATCTTAAGAATCCTCTATTCTTTTCCTCTCTTGATAACCCCCAAAGAAATGACAGCCACTACATTCCCAGGCCTTCTCTGTCTGACTAAATCTCATTTCTCAAAAAATATTCTTACAAAACCACATCTGTGTGACTCCTCTTCTTCCTTCCAGACCTTCTTTCTTGCCACCTCTGTTCTGCCCAAACAAATGTAATCCCTTTACCCATTCTTCAGTTCTAGCAAAGACTGAATTCCCCTAAGAGGATAATTTAGACATTTTATCTTCTAAGGGAATTCTTTTTAACAGGCAAAGGAGGTCTATGATTAGGAACATTCTTAGTTAATTAAGTTTTGTGTCCATCTCATTAAGAAAAAATAGCTTAATACAAATTGATAAGGTTGAGACATAACGCATATAAGCCCTAAAGATCGAGGATGAACTAGCTTAAGAGACTAAGAATTTTCTTAAAATTGTATATTAGTATACTCACTCTGACTCTAGCTAATATGGAATTTGGGCCAGTTGGAATGGTGCAACTCAGGCAAAGTCAGATGTTACCCAAACCATTGCTAGCTGAGATATTTCATATCCTACTAACTAGGTGCTGGCAAACAGCACTAGTGAGAAAGTGACTACAGCTAGTTAGCTTTGAATGCAGATATGTCCAGATGTGAACCCTCACTCTACTTATTACTAACCATGTGACTTCACACAAATTCATTTCCCTGGTCTTTTGTTTCCTCATTCACACTATGTGGATAATATTATCTCACTCACATTGGAGCATGACAAGCATATAAAAAGCAGCCAATAAATGGTAGCTATTTATAATTTTATGACTATATCTATTCATGTATGAGGACTGTCTGGAAAGTATCTAGCCATGTAACTGTTCTCGTTACATTAACAATGGCTGGATACCTTAAGGACAGCCCTTGTATATATAAGTGTTAGTTTTTATGTTTTTTTAAAGTGAATATGATTCAGTTGGTATTGTACATTCTATATCAAATAATACTTTTATGTCTTTATACAATGCCAAAGAATTGGAACACCTGCAGGCATTTTTAAGGCAGGTCTTGGAATTGAATAAATCAAATGGATACATGTCCTCATTACCCTGGCACTCACTTTGTGTAGATCTGGTGGAAAGATTCTTTACAGAATTGTAACAAAATGAAATATTCTTCGTTGATTTTGCCTTTCTACCCCACTACTTTACAAAACTTCAGAGAATTTTGTTGATTTTGGATTTATGTTCTTCAAGGAGTGCTAGCCCCACAAAGTATAATACAATATGAATAGTGTCCCCTGAGTTGTGCAAAGGACAGAGCTGCTTCTGTTAGCCACACTTATTACATCTCTAAAGAAGGCATGACATACTGAAAAGAGCAAACGTTTTGTTCTAAGAAGACCTGGATTAAAATTGTAGGTAAGATTTTAAGCCAGTGGTGAAAACTTGAACTGAAAATATAGGCTCTGAACCTCACTGTCCTTAGTTGTAAGATAAGTGGCTGACTCATTGATGGGCTGTCATGAGACCTAATAATATGTAGACATGTATACACTAGCAATAGCGATGGAGTTGCTAACCCTTATACAGTGTCTGTCAGAATATGCTAGGTACTATTATATGTACTTGAACTACATTAACTTATTTAATCCTCTTAATAATTCTGTGAGGTAAGCATTCTCTTACTACCCCCATTTTACACATGAGGAAACCAGCACAGAGAAAGTAAGTAATTTGCTTGAGGTAAATGGTGCTGCTGGTATTGAAGTTCATCAATCTAACTCTAGGAACTGTGCTTCTAATCATTGAGCCATACTCTCCACATGTCTATAACAGGTACATATAATTATATATATCATTAGGTACATAATGATTAGTGATTATGTTGGACTTATATAGATACTTCTTCAGAACTTTTGGCCTGCTGGCTATGAACTACAAATAATTGAAATCTTAAAACACCTTTGAGAGCTTGGATTCAAGAAAGAAAGAAATTTTTAAAAACCCTTCCTGGTAACTGGTAACAATTATCAAAAAAAGAAATCAAGAAAATAATCCCATTTACAATAGCTACAAGAAAAATAAAATACTTAGGAATAAATTTAACTGAATAGGTGAAAGACCTGTGTGCTGAAACCCATAAAACATTGATGAAAGAAATTGAAGAAGACACAAATAAATGGAAAGATATACTATATTTATGGATAGGAAAAATGAATATTGTTAGAATGCACTACCCAAAGCAATCTACAGATTCAATGCAATCCTTATCAAAATTATAATAATATTTTTCACAGAAATAAAAAAAAATCTTAAAATTTGTACAGAAGCACAAAAGACAAGACCCTGAATAGCCAAGCAGTCTTGAGCAAAAAGAAAAAAACTGAAGGCATTATACTACCTGATTTTAAAATATACTTCAAAGTTATAATAATCAAAACAGCATGATACTATCATAAAAACAGGCATATGGACCAATGGAACAGAATAGAGAACTTAGAAATAAACCCACACATTTATAGTGAATTGATTTTTGACAAAGGTGCCAAGAGCACACAATAGAGAAAGGACAGTCTCTTCAATAAATGGTGTTGGGACAACTGGATATCCACATGCAGAAGAGTGGAATTAGACCCTTATCTCACACCACATACTAAAATTTACTCAAAATAGATTAAAGACCTAAACATAAGACTGAAAACTACAAAACTACTAGAAGAAAATTTAGGGGAAAAGCTCTATTACATTGGTATGGGCAATGATTTTTTTGGATAGAACCATAAAGGCATAGGCAACAAAAGCATAAATAGAAAACTGGAATTATGCCAAAATGAAAAATTTCTGCACAGGCAAAGAAACAAACAACGGTATGAAGAGACAACCTACAGAATCGGAGAAAATATTTGCAGATCATACAGCTGATAAGAGGTTAATACCCAAAATATATAAGGAACTCAAACAACTTGGGAGCAAGAAAATAAATAACCCAATTAAAAAATGAGCAAAGGACCTTAATAAACCTTTCTTTTTGTTGTTGTTGTTGTTGTTTTGAGACAGAGTCTTGCTCTGTCACCCTGGATAGAGTGCAGTGGCATCATCATAGCTCACTGCAACCTCAAACTCCTGGGCTCAAGCAATCCTCTTGCCTCAGCCTCCCAAGGAGCTGGGATTACAGGCGCATGCCATGACACCTGCCTGATTTTTCTATTTTCGGTAGAGACAGGGTCTTGCTCTTGCTCAGGCTGGTCTCAAACTCCTGAGCTCAAGCAATGCTCCTGCCTTGGCCTCCCAGAGTGCTAGGATTACAAGCATGAACCACTATGCCTAGCCAGACATTTCTTAAAAGAAGACATACAGATGACCAAGAGGTATATGAAAAAAATGCTCAATACCACTAATCATCAGAGAAATGCAAATGAAAGCCACAATGAGATATTTCCTCACTTTAGAATGGCTGTTATCAAAAAGACAAGAGATAAGTGTTGGTGAGGATGTGGAGAAAAGAGAATATTTGCACAGTCTTGGTGGGAATGTAAATTAGTACAGCCATTATGGAAAACAGTACGGAGGTTCCTGAAAAAATTAAAAATAGAACTACCATATGATCCAGCAATTCCACTACTGGGTATATATCCAAAGGAAATGAAATCAGTATGTCGAGGAGATAATCTGCACTCCCATGTTCATTGCAGCATTGCTTACAATAGCAAAGACATGGAATCAACCTAAGTGTCCATTAACAGATAAATAGATAAAGAACGTGGCAAATATACATAAAGGAATACTATTCAGCCTATAAAAGAAAGAAATCCTGTCATTTGTGACAACATGGATGAATCTGGAGGACATTATATTAAGTGCAACAAGCCAGACATAGAAAGACAAATGCTGCATGATCTCATTTACAAGTGGAATCTAAAAAAGTTGAACTCACAGAAGTGGAGAGTAGAATAGTGATTACCAGACACTGGTGGCAGGGGAGAGGGGTGGACTGAGGGAGAATGTTGGTCAGAGGATACACAATTTCAGTTATACATGAGGATTAAGTTCAAGAGATCTATAGTACAACATGGTCACTGTAGTTAATAACAATGTATTGGAGTCTTGAAAATTGTGAAGAGAGTAGATTTTAAGTGTTCTCACCACCCAAAATGATAAGCATGTGAAGTAATGCAAATGTTAATGAGCTCGATTTAGCGATTCCACAAAGTATCTATAAAATAAATATATACAACACTTATTTTATTTGTTAATTAAAAGCAAATAAATTTTTTCAAAACCCTACCTGGGAGCGATATCCAAGGCATTTATAAGTACTCCACCCAAGGAAAAGCTGCTTGTTGCACTAGCAAGGATCAGGAAAATGACGGTGCTATGGAAGCTGGAAGTCAGGTAAGGCAGGCAAGCACTGAAGATTGCAGGAAGGAGAAATCCTGGAGAGAGATTCAGACAAAGCAGTCAGATGCATCCTGAAGATGGGGGTGAAGTATCCCCCAAGTGCTTGAATGTTCTAGCTGTTACTTACCTAGTGTGGTGAAGAGTTTCCGGATGGTAATTATGCTAAAAATATTCCTGGTCAGGAAGAAGTCTGATATCTGACCTGCTAGGATATCACATATCCAGGCAAACAAATAGGGAAGAGCAGACAGCAGACCATTCTGAAAAGGAAACATTATTCTGAGAGAGAATATTATGAGAATAATCCCTACACTGAAATTCAGTATCTAAAATGTGTACTTTCCAGGAAACCATCACCATAACAATGCCAGAATTACTGCTGGGGCCACACTACCCAAAAGAAGGAAAAAAAATTGTTTTGAGATCAGTGACATTTCTTATAATCTCTCAAGTTTTCTACTTTTAGCATCATGAAACCTGAAAACATTGTGTAATAGAGAAGAAAACTACACAGGGAATGGGAAATACTGGCCCTGGGGAAAATGATAGAGAGGATAATGATACAATTGCAAACATGCATATGGTGCTTTCCCTGGACCAGCTGCTGTTAATCCTTAGAACAACTCCATGGCCTCATGGAAGATAAAATTAAGTCAGAGAGAGTTCATATTGACCTCACTGTTACGATGATCCCTAGGTTGGTTTAGTGGGAATTCGTTACAGAAAGCCACAAAGCGGGACTCCATTTCTAAAGGAGTCTTGTCAGGTTATTACAGTATCAAACAACAGGAGGTTCTAGGCATTAATGATTCTCTACATCAGATAAGCAATTTGTGTGCCCATCCCTCCAAAGCAAGATCTGAGTCCTGGGTTCATAGCCCAGACTCATTGCCTTCCCCTGGAGAGAAGATTGGTAAGAGCTGAACAGAGGGCCAGGGTCTGGCTAAGTGATTTTCAGGGAAGGATCCCAGTCCTTGTAGGGAATGGTGGTGCTGAGCCTTAAGTAACACGCAGGGCAGTCATACAGTGAGTGGGAGATAGAGAACGTGTGGAAACATGAGTACACGTGGACTGTTGTTGGCGTGCCAGACACTGTCTATATTAACACCTTTTGTTCTGGGCAGTGTTCACATAAAAATCAGAAACAGCGAGTGTCCAGGTAAAGAGCACTCACTAAACAGTGTAAGGGGTGGGCAAGGGCTGAGACTGGGTTCATTTGAGACAGAGAAATGAACCCAGAGTCCTTCATAAAATTAAAAAGAGAATAGATGGTATACTTACCTCTCTTACATTAACGTGAAACACGGAGTTGATAAAAGTTGGGGTGTACATAAGCATGGTGTTTTTTGTCCAGGAATAAGCAAAATTACTAAGGGTAATAGCCCAGACTGGAAGCGACTTAAGCATAGCCTTGATAGGCAGAGATTGTCTACTTGAGCTGACCTGGAAAGAAAGGAATTCATTAATCATTAGCTCATAAGGACAAGTTGGAACATGTTTAGTGTGGAGCAGAATCTGGGAGATGCCAGTGTGGAGCACTGTGTTCTACCTGATGGTCGAGGGAGGATATGATGTATTCCTTCTCACTGATGCTTATACATGGGTGGTTCTTGGGGTCATCATAAAACTGAACGAACCAGAGAAGACATAGAGCACAGCCACAAGCACCTATCAAAGCAGGACAAGTTAGAATTGGAAGTTTCTGTTTGTATTGGGTCTCTTTCCCAAATTGGCATTTTTCAGTGTATCACTGTGAGAACTTAGACCTTCTCTTTCTTTTTTGAAATGGCAACAAGGCTCACATTTTTGTATCCACAGCTGCCTCTCCCTACAGAATGAATTTTACAGAAATGGTGGTAAACCCTTTGGCTCCTAGCCTCTGCATGCCTCCTCTTGTGACAGCTGGACCACCCTACCCCCAGGCGCTCATCTTTTCAAATTCCTACTGTGTTCCACCCTGAGAGTATGGCACAGCTGAGCCTGCACAGGACTTGACGATCACACAGTTTCCAGAGCTTGGCCTCTGCCATGTTCCTGAGCTATAGCACAGGCTTCAGGGATTATCCAAGTTCTATAAGAGTTTGCCGAATTGAGACTAGGTTCATTAAAGACAGAGAAATGCACCCAGACTCCTTCATAAAGTTAAAAAGAGAAAAAATAGTATACTTGTCTCTTTGATATTAACATGAAGCACAGAGTTGATAAAAGCTGGGATGTATTACAAGCATAATGTTATCTGCCCATAATCGGCTTATACTAGTAATCCGATTATGGGGAATCCTCTGTTAGGACAAGAAGTATGTAGTGCTCACCAGTCACTCTTCCAGAAATTTATTCATTCATTTGACAAACATTGATTAAATGCCCACTATGAACCATGCACTTATTCAAAGTACTGAGGATACTGTGTGAATAACAGGGACAAAAATCCCTGCCTTCATAGAATTGACTTTCTAGTGGATGAAAAAGAGATTGTTTTATTCAACCCTCAAAAAAATTCAGATAATGCTATCATCTCTTTTTCAAAATGAGAAAACCAAGACTCAGAAAGATCAAGTTATTTGCCCAGGGACACATGGTTAGTAAGTGGTAATTGACCCTTAAGCATGAATTATATTGTTCTGGGAGGGAATATAGCCCTAGAGGAGGAAGCTGTGGCAGAGCTCTGAAGATAGGTAAGAGTTAACGGTAAGTAGAAAAGGGTGAGTTAGCAAAAGAGACTGAGAAAAGATGGCCAGAAGGATGAAGTCCAATGCAGGGAGGGCATAGTCAAAGAAACTGAGATGAAAAGGAATGGCCTGGAAGCTTTAATAAAGAATCAGAAGGAAATGCTGAACATCGAAAACACTATAATGGAAATGAAGAATGCCTTTAATGGACTCATCAATCGACTGGACATGACCAAGAAAGAATCAATGAACTTGACAAAATGGCAATAAAAATTTCTAAAATTGAATTGCAAAGACAGAAAAAGAATGAAAAAGACAGAACAGAGTAGCCAAGAACTGTGGGACAATTGTAAAAGGGATAACATATATGTAATGAAAAATATCAGAAGGAGAAGAAAGAGAAAGAAACTGAAAAAATATTTGAAGCAATAATTACTGAGAATTTCTTAAAATCAATGATAGACCTCAAACTATAGATACACAAAGCTCAGAGAACACCAAGAAAGATAAATAACAAAAAATTTACACTGAGGCATATCATATTCAACTGCAGAAAACCAAAGACAAAATTTTGAAAGAAGCCAGAGGAAAAAAATGACTTGGAGAGTCAGGTTTAAATTTAGAATTCTTAGATTCTGCTAGCTGCAAATCCCTGGTCGCTGGTCTGAGGCTTCACCTCTTCTATTCCTACCCAGATCCATTCCCCACATCATTAGGAGTTTTAACTGGATAGGTGTAGAAACCCTTACCTTCCCCATCATGCACCATTCATATCCTCTGCAAATAGTCCCTCCTTCCTCTCTTGGTCAATCCCTAGTGCAATGGATATTGGGAAAAGTCCTGCTGGTCTGAAAAAGCCTTGGTTCTATTATGTTATGAAATACGAAATGTCCAATTTAGATTAAAAGTTAGTTTATCATATCTCAAACAAGAAGCAATAAAATTAATCAAGGTATGCACCTAAACTGTCAACACAGTTTTGTCATCTTAACGGTAGCTTGTTTATGCCAGCAGCAAAGAAGCCTGGAGAGTGAGTGGTGATGAAATTATGAAAGGCATTTTCCACAGATTGTTGAGGATTGAATATTTTTCCTTGCAAGAAGTGGTCCAAAGCCTGGAAGAAATGGTAGGTAGGCAATTGTTGCAAGGTCTGATGAATATAGTGGATGACAGAGAGTTTCCAATGGATGACAGAGAGTTTCCAAGTCCAGCCTCTGTAGTTTGAGCAGCATTGTTTGTGCAGCATGTGGTCCAGTGTTGTCTTGCAAGAGGTTTGGCCTGTCTCTATTTACCAATCTCTGCTGCTTAATCACAAGCATCATCATTTCTTCCAATTGGTTGCAGTAGACATCCGCTGGAATCAATTGATCAGATTTCATGAAGCATACCAGAACTGGACCAACAAACAGACACCATTAGCTTTTTTTGATGAATATTTGGTCTTGGACTGTGTTTCAACACTTCATCTTTATCTAACCATTGTGCTGAATGCTTACGATTATCAGAAAGAATCCATTTTTCATCACACATAACAATACAGTGTAGAAATGGTTCACCTTTCTGTTATGAGAGCAAAGAAAGGCAAGCTTCAAGATGATTTCTCTTCTGATGCTCATTTAATACCTGAAGTACCCATCTATCCAGCTTCTTTACCTTGCTGATTTGTTTCAAATGGTCCAATATTGTTGGAATAGTAATGTCGAACCTTGCTGCTAATTCATGTGTAGGTTGAGACGGATTCTCTTCCACTATAGCTTTCAGCTCATCATTATCCAGTTTGGTCTCAGGTCAGCCATGTGGCTCATTTTCAAGATTAAAATCACCAGAATAGAACTTCTCAAACCATCCTTGTACTGTGCATTCATTAGCCACATCCTTCCCAAATACTTCATTGATATTATGAGCTCTCTGTGCTGCGTTGGTTCCATGATGGAAGTTGTAAGGCTGGTGGTGGGCACCCCTCCCCTCCCTAAAGAAAAAAGAGAAGCCCACAAGACCTGCCCTAATACTGTAACAAAGAACTCTCCACTTTGCGTGCCAAAACTTTGCCCCGAAGAAAAACCCCCATCCCCCAACTCTAAAACCTTTATAAGCCCGCTCAACACTTCCGGGTGTGGGACTTCTCTGGCCCCCTCTCTGGAGACCAGTGAACCTTGCCCGGGAGCGCTCTTTTTCCCCCTCCCCCAACAAAGCCTCCTTGCTTGCCCTTTTCACTCTGCTCGTCTTTCTTTCTCTGGCGCTGACCATCCAAAAACCTTACAGAAGTCATATTTGAAAATAACACGAATTTTTGACTTATTTATGGTTTCACAAAAATTGCTATAAAAAAAAATTTGAAAGATAATCACAAACCAAAGCATATGTTTGAAAGACTGAGGTTGTACCTTCCCAATAAAAATAAAACAAGAAATGTCAATGCGAAATGTCAGAGATATCACCTGTCAAACTTTCCTTAGTGCTTAAGGAAATCGGGTATTTCATACTTAAATCATTCCAGATTTTATACTTAAAACATTTCAGGAGTGATGACTAGAAGGAAGGTCATGGGCTTAATGAGCCTACTGTCTTGGCTGGGCAGACTCCCTGCCCTATGAAGAGAACCTGGCTGGAGAGAAGCCAAAATGAACTCTCTACAGTGTGCAATCCAGGGCAAGGGCCCTCTTGCCTGGGCCTCAGGGCAGCTCTGATGGAAGCCATAGGTAATCTTGACAAGGGCGATGTTGATGGTACGGTAGGTCAAACACTAGTCAGATGTCAGTTGAGGAGAGAATGAAAAGCTAGGAAATGCGGGCAGTGAGTACAGACAGATTGTACGATAATTTTAATTATCAAAAGGAGGTTCCTTGAGACAGAATACAGGGGAAAGGAGCCATTTTAGAGATTCAAGAAGAGTTGAGAAGTTTGAAGTAGTCTTTGGAGACAAATGGCAGGACAGTCAGGCCATTTTAAGTGCAAGTGTGTGACACAATTTGCTCTATTTGGTAATCTCCAGAAATTATTAGCTACTTAGACATTGTTTTATTCTTTAAAATACTATCTGTTCAGATTTGTTTAGCTTTATTGGCAAGAATATTCAAATAGAGTTTAAAAACAATCCTGGTTTTAGTTTTGCCTCTGCCACTAACTTGGGCAGGTCATTTGACAACTGTGGGTGTCATGTGACTCACAGTAAAAGGGTTATGGGGGCAGGTATCTTAATCCCTAAATCACTGCCATCTAAGCCCTTTTCCTCTATTCTCGGTGATAAGTAAAAAGCATGTGAGGCACTTTCCCTTAAAGCTATATTCATAATATAATGTATAGTCAATCCCTTCTTTGAGTTTCATGGGGCCACCCATGATAATTGCAAGTGGCTATGCTGCTGTACATAATCTTGTATTAGGAGTACAGCATGAATATTGGATATCATCCAACCCCTGACCAGCAATATGGGGCAGCATTAATTATTGAAAAGTTGTCCTTACATGGAGCTGAAACCTCACCTCCCTGTAATTTCTGCATATTTGGTTTAGTTTTGTAGTACAGAAGAGGTCTGCATTTCTCTTATATGACAGCCCCATAAGATATGCTCTCTCAAGTTTTCTGTTTTTCAGGCTAGACAGTCCCAGTTTTCTCAGCCCCTTTCCTGATACAGGGTTTGTGTTCCATCACTACATTGACCATTACCTATTTCTGATGACTGATACAGTGATTAAGAGCAATGGAATTTTGAGGATGGAAGACATGTTTTCACATTACAGCTCTGCCATCTGCTCACTGTGTGTATTGGGTATTTATCTTCTGTTTGTCTCCATAGATGTACTGTCCACCCTTCTTCATCCTGCTCTGGCTACAGATGGCTGATTTGGGTGAACATCAGTAAGCCCCCATGTCCTCTGCTTGCTAGTTGGATTTGGCCAACGGAAATCCCAGGCAGAGATGAGAGGGAGAGAATTGAGTGAGATTAAGGTATCTTTTCAAACCCTAGTTCTTTCCCTCCTAGGATAGACTCAATCTAGGTGTCGCTGTATAAAAAATCATGGGTCCTTTCAAGGCATCCTGCTCTACAGGACTCTCTCCTAATGGATTCTGGTAACTACTTCCTTGCTTGTCACCTTTGGACCTGGGTATGGTACTAGCTCCTATATTGCTAGCCCCAGGTTACTGCACTATCCCTGTGATCCCACCACATCTCATGCTTACCTTTATAAATAATTATTTTGAAAAAAATCCTTTTGAATTTACTTTGGGCAAGTTGCCTAAGCCTTTATAAGTTTCCTCATTTGTCAAATGAGCATATAGCACCCATCCACAACCCCTTATTCACAAATCTGAAACCAAGATCTGAAAGACAAAAGTGATTTTATAATTTATCTGTCAACCTAATTTTTTATAGTTTTTTATATATTCCAATTTGTGTGAATTTCATTTTTACTGCATAAATTAATGTGTTTGATTATGGGGTGGTGCTACACATCATGCTTGGAGTGTTAGGTATAACTAGTATACTCATCATTGTATCTTTCTGAAATCTGAGAAGTTATCATTTGATAATCCCTTTCCCAAAGTTTCATATAAAGCATGTACCTATCTTACCTACATTATAGAATTATAAGTTATGTACAAAAATACATGTACAGTTCTAAGCATGATGCTTTGTTTGTGATAGGAACTTAATGTTGACTTCTATCTCTCCTTCAGTGGGATTCATGATTTTTAATATTAACCTTACATAAATTATTATGTTATATTACATTAGGTTTTCATTTTTAATTTTTTCTTCTTAAATTCTGAATAATAACTAGGATTTTATAGAAGGAGACTCACCAAAAATATAGAAGACCATGGGCCAGCCCAGAGATTCACAGATGACTCCAGTCACAAGCAGGACAATGAAGGGTCCCAGCATAAGCCCTAATCAGAAGGCACAAAGAACACCCCTAATTAATGCAGGCATCTGAAAGTAGAGATAATGTAGCCTCATTGTAGCAATGAATAATTTTCTGTGAAATAAATCTGTATAGAATAACGCCAATCAGAAAAAAAGGGAATATTTGCTTTTCTCTCTCTTTTTTTTTCTGTTCTTTGAGATAAGAATACCTCTTCTCCATTCTAGACAATTTTCTTATCTTTAAAGCAAGAATACTGAAATAGATAATTTCTGAAGCCCTTAACAGTTCAAAACACACACATTTCTTATGCTCTAGGGAAGAACATGATATACAATGAGATGAAAATGGGATTCAATCATTCTAGACTCTAAGTCCTTACCTGATAGACTCATAGAAGTAAGTCGGCCTCGTTCCAGAGGAGGAGCCCATTTCACCCATACTTCATGCTGAGCTGTTATTACTGTTGCCTGAAATGAGAAAGATTAAGACATTTGAACTCTAATACTTTCTGTGAATTTAAGCCTTGTTCAGTTTTTGCATTATCTTAATACCTGGGATATTCCCTGGACTACACGACATGCAATGACCCAAGTTTCTCCAACTTCAGCTGCTGGTGGGATGAAGAGACTTAACAGAGAGCTGAGGAATAATGCACAGCCAACAATTTTCTTTACAGAGTATATTCCAGAGAGATATCCAACAGGAATTTGGATGAAGACTACACCATAGAGGTTGGAACTGAAGATGATCCCCTGGATTTCAGGGCTCCAGTTATACACGGGGTTCTGAAAGAAAAGGGGAGACATATCTAACCACTCTGCATATTGGAGATTCACTGTGACATTCAGGGATTTGGGAACACTGGTCTTCAGGGGCTCATCCCATGTAGAGTAGGTTCCCTTTCCCTATTACTCTTTGTTACAGGACTTTCTTTATTCCTTTATGACATCATTTTCTGTATGTATTTGCATTTTATCATTGATATCTTCAACTATAAAGTCCTTATAGCCAAGGGCACCATCTGTACCTCCAGAATCTGTCACAGCATAGACAGTTAATACTTGTTTATTGAATGTTGCTAAACTGCATGTAAACTCTCCTGAGGAGTTCTGCATAGCACTACATGTACTGCAATAGTTAATTTCCTGTACTGCATGGTACTATATACATTGCAATAATTTATTTCTTCTTGCTCTTCCTCTAACTCTTCCGTTAATTTAAGCTTATTCACAAAACTACCCTTCCCCACATGCACACTGCTTCCAGAGAGAAAAGTAGTGATAGAGCAAACCATGAAGAGCTCTCAGTTTGAGCTGTGAAAATGACTGCATGGGACAGTGAAGGAAAAGGTCATTTCTCTTCCTTTGCTTGGCTCTGATGTGGCATATTTTTTCCCAGGAATGGATTCATTTGTGCATTCCTAGGTTAGAGGGACTTCTTTAGTTTTGTTACATTACTAAAGGCTGAGAAAAGAAATTCTGAATGTTGAACTTATTGTTGAGACTATGGGGGAGGAGGTGGCACATGTTTTTGGATTCACTGAACAGAGAGAAACCTTAATGGTAGTAGGGGAAGACAGGATAAAGCTTCTTTGGAAGCTTCAGATAGTCCCATTCTCTAAACTTTCTGTTAGTGCATAATTAGGAGGAACATATTAAGAAATGAAGAGTGCTAGGTGGTATTTTTGGTTGAATATTAAATAAGGAAATAGGTAGGAATCCATGCATTTGTTCTCATCACCATAATCTTGTTCCTCCATTCCTCTTTTTTTCTCCCCTTTTCAAGTTTCTCTCACCCTACAGATGTGACCTCTGGATGGAAATGTCTCTCTTGGATGGAAAAGGACGTACATGGAGAGATCTGGTAGGAGTGCCACTCTGAGGATTGTGAATAATAACGAATGAGGCACATTCCTATAGTAGCCAGGCAGTCAGGAAAGTTCCGGATAATTTCCATTGAGGGGAGAGGGCTACCCAGAATGATCTGTCAGTTTTTTTTTTTTTTAATCACAGGAACCACCAGGGAAATTAATATTCACCCTTACCCATATCGGGTGGGCCAGCTGACATTTGTTCAACTCTCTGTGCGCATGAACAGATCACTCAAAATCTTGAATAGTTTTTCTTATCACTCTCCATAGCAAAATGTAGACAAAGAGCCCACTAGAGTTGGATTTAAGTCCTAGGGGAAATGATAAACAAAAAAGAGACCTGCGCTCCCTTTTACCTTGAAGCGTTTGTCTTTAGGGACAGCACAGTTTATGCAACCCTGGAAGCATTATCTTGGGACATTGTTTTGAAGTCTACCTCCCTTCTTTGCTTTGGGAGGAATGTCTTTCCATTCCTTTACTTTTAAACCCTCTACATCAGAAGGGAGCCCTCAGTAACCAGCTTCGCTCTTCTGTCGTTCCTCCCTGCTTGCATCTTGTTGCTGGCAGAGCACTTTCGTACCTTGAGATATCCAGGTGATTTTGTCTGCTCCCAAAGCAGGTCCATACCAAGTAACAGAGGCACTTTGGCTTCCACTAGGTAGATTAGGCCTGATCATAATATCCTGCCAGACAATACCTAAGAATGAAATCTAAACAGTGTTGATCCATTTGAGTACCCAGTCTTAGTAGTCATTGTTTTTAAATACAATGATCATTGTGATATTTGTTCTTGGGTTGCAGTTTCTTATGTTGAGAGTTTAAAGTTGATATTCAGAATGTTCTTAGAAAAGAATGACATTTTTTTCCTTTCTGGAGCTGCTTTCATTGGCTGTTGGGATAGATAAACACGGGCTTAAAAATGTGTTCCTCCTAGCTTTCTCGCCTTTCCCGTTCTTTTCTTCCCTTCCTCCCCCATTCCCTCCCTGTCTTCCTCTCTTCTTCCTTTCCTTCTTTTTTCTGTGCCAGGCCATTCTTCAAATTTACATCAAAGATACCTCAAGTGTTGGTATCTGACAATATCTGTCACTCTTATCTAAGGAGTGACCTTTTATTTTTAAGATGACTACAGATCTATTTTTACATATGTTTTTAGTAAGATCGTGAACCAGCACATTTTAATTAAACATCTTCCAGTGTTAGGAAGGTGAAAAATGTCCATAGGCAAGTCTGCTGTTCTCTGTCACTGTCCTTTGTCTCCCTGAGTCCCTTAAGAGTTCTTTCTTTCCCCCTCTAGTTTTGGGTGTGCATATTTGGAGTTTGTAGTGGGTGGTTTGTAAAGCTGGAGGCCTTTGTTCTGTTTTTTTTTTTTGCTACAAAATGCGAATAATTGAAAGAATGAACACCTTTTGTGATGGTCGATTTCTCTCAGGAATAAGTTGGATCTCCAATGTTTTGGGGATGCTCTGAGTCTCAAAAATTGATAACCAGAAAAGTATTTTTGTTTGTTTAATATATCCATTTTCCAGTTTTAATTAAACTTCAAATTTTGTCTCACATTAAAAAAAAAGTCCCTGGACTCAGACTGAAACTTCACACACCAGGACGATAAAACCTCAGTTTATATTTCCCTATTCAATGCATAAGCTAGTTGTCATTATATGAAGTATTCCACATATAAATGTGTAAGTTACCCTACATAAATCTTAGGAATAAATATATATACATTTGTATGGGTCGTATAAATGAATAAGAAATATATAATACCTCAATAGGTAAAATGGACCAAGAGTATCAACAGATAATTTATGAGAGAAAAAATTGAAATGATCAATAAACATAGGTCACAGAAATATAAAAATGTGTAATCCCATTAATAATGAAAGAATATCTATTTTAAAGTTATGGTAGAATTTCTAAGTATCAGATTGGTAAATTTTAAATAGAATAATGACACATATTCCTTGACTTTGATGACAGAGGGAACCCTGATGACAGAATACCTTCTTTCTCATTTTTCTTTCTCTTCTGTACTCGTCCCTTATTGCGGTATCTCTGTGGTACCTATTCTTCTTTATTTTCCTTGTTATTTTGTCTTCTTTTCTAAAATGTTCTGTGTTACTTTTTCATAATCTTTTTCTGTCAATTTCCTTTTTTCATTCGTCTGCCGTCTGAGCATAGCCTCATGTCTGGCTGTGTTTGCTTTGAGCTCTCGTAGGTACCACGCTATGGTGTTCTTTCCGTAGCTACAATTGCTTCACCAATTTTTAGGTTCATTTTGTAATGTTAGGTTACAACTTAAATGTGCTTTGTGGAAATAATTTTCTGATGAGTTTTCCTATTTTAGAATAAATATGTGTTCTATTTATTCAGTTTTTCATATAGTACCTTTGCATAACAGTAAACTGCATTGTAGCAGGAGGTTACATGGGGGCAATGGTGGTAGTGAGTGTGGTAGAGAAATGTTCCAAGCTCCATAGCTCAAGAGTTCCCTCCTCTTTTGCTATAGTGAAGGATCTAAAATACAGGCCCTTGGAAGGGGGTAGACATTTCTCTAGAAAATGGGGTTTTCTATTTAAACCAAAGTAACAGAATACTACAAGTATTTAAGAATATAATTCAAGAAAACACTTTTGAATAAAATAAATTTTTGATAATTGACACAATAAACTGTATATATGTATACACTTATGAAACCATCACCACAATCAAGATAATAAACATATTCTTCATCTCCAAAAGTTTCCTCTTACTTACCCTCCTGCCTCTTCCCCACCACTGATCTGCTGCCCATCACTATAACTTCATTTTCATTTTCTAGACATTTTGTATAAATGGAGTCCTATAGTACACATTCTATTTTTTTGTCTAGCTAATTTCACTCGGCACAATTATTTTAAGTTTCATCCATGTTGTTGAGTATGACGATAGTTCATTCCATTTTAGTGCTAAGTAGTACTCCATTTTATGGATGTATCATAGTTTGTTCATGCACCTATTGATGGACATTTAGGTTGTTTCCAGTTTTTTGGCTATTAGAAATAAAGCTATTATGAACATTTATGTACAAATCTCTATATGGACATATGCTTTTATTTTTCTTAAATAAATACCTAATAGTGGAATGGCTGTATCATGTAGTAGGTATATGCCTAATTTTTTATGAAATGACAAAATGTATTCCAAAGTGGTTGTACAATTTTGCATTTTACCAGCAGTATTAGAGAATTACAGTTCCTCCACATTTTTGCCAACACTTGGTAGGTCTAATCTTTATAATTTTAGCTATTTGAATCAGTATGTAGCGATATATATTTGTGAATTTAATGTTTGTCGCCAATGACTAATGTACTAATGATGTAGATCATCTTTTCGTGTGAGTATTTGCCATTCACGTGTCTCCTTTGGTGAAGTATCTGTTCACATCTTTTTCACTTTTCTTTCATTGGGTAGTCTATTTTTTTTAAATTGAGTTTTGATAGAAGTTCTTTATTAAGTATGATTTTCAAACATTTATCCCTGTTTCTGGCTTGTGTTCTCATTCTTCTAATAGTATCTTGAATTTTGATGAAATCCAATTTTATGTTTGTTCTTTTGTGTATCCTGAAAAATCAGTAGTTTCTATGCATGCAAGTCTTCTACACTATTTCATTGATCTATTTTTCTTTCTTCACACTAATTTCATGCTGTCTTGATTACTGTAACTTTATAATCAGTCTTAAAATTAGGTAGGTAGTGTTAATCCTCCAACTACTAATTTTTCAACAAACATTCAGAGGCAATTCAGTGAAGAAAGAATAGTCTTCTCAATAAAAAATGCTAGAAAAAAATGGTATCTCCATATGTAAAAAAAGATCTTTAATGCAACATATACAAAAATTGAGTCAAAAGGAATCATAAATTTAAAAGTAAAATTATAAATAACACTTAAAAGAAAAACATAGAAGAATTTTTTTGACCTTGGGCTATGCAAAGATTTCTTAGATGCAACAATAAAAGCACAATCCACAAAAGAAATGTTAAAAGAAGTTCTTCAGGCAAAAGGAAAGTGATACAGCCCAGAAATATGAATCTATATAAAAAGTGATAACATTAGAAAAGAATAAATGAAAGTGCAAATTATTGTATTTTGAATTAATCTAGAAGATAACTGTTTAAAGGATGCATTGGGTGTTTATAGCATATAGACAAATGAAATAAGTGCTAGTAATCACAAGAGATGGGAGAGGGGAATTGGAAATATTTGGTTATAAGGTTCCTGCACTATGTATGAAGCAGTCTAGTGTTATTTAGGCGTGGATTTGTATTATTAAAAAATAAACTCTATGGAAAGTAATAAAACAGTTTTTTAAAGTATAAGTGACATAGTAAGAATGGAGATAAAATTGAATGATATAAAATGTTCAGTTAAACCCAATGAAGGCAAAAAATGAATGAAAGAAAAAAAAAAGTAAAGACCAGATGTAACCAATAGAAAACAGTTACCAAGTGTGTATTTGTCTGTTCATCCTTTTGGCTCTCAGAGTTTATGTCTTCTTCTGTTTTGCTGTTGTTAGGGACATACATGTTTAGAATCATTTGTCTTAGAGAATTGATACCATTATCACTGGATAATGCCCTCTTTATCTCTGATAATCTTCCTTGCTATACATTCTGCTTTTTCTGAAATTAATATAGCTACTCCAATTTTCTTCTCATTAGTGTTTCCATGGTTGCACAGATTTTGCATCTTTCTTCATTCCTTTACTTTTAAACTAAGACTTTATATTTTTAAGATTTCTTGTAGATAGCTTATTTGGGGGTCCTTATTTTTTATCAAATCTGACATTCTCTGTCTTTTAACTGATGTGCTTAGAACATTCACATTTAAAGTAATTATCAATATAATTAGAGTAAAATCTACCATCTTTTTACATTTCTTGTATGGTAAGCCTACTGAAACTGAATTCCATTAGTGTTTTTTGCCTGAAAAAGCCTTTATTGTCTCTCACTTTTGAGGATAATTTCATTGAATATAGCATTTTAGGTTGGCAGAGTTTTTTTTTTTTTCTTTTAACACATTAAGGAGTTCATTCTTCTTTTCTTGTTTGCATGGTTTCTGATAAGATGTCTGCTGTAATTCTTATCCTTGTTTCTTTGTAGGTAAGGTATTTTTTTCCCCAGGCTTCATTCAAATGTTCTTTTTGTCCCGGTTGTCTGCAGTTTAAATATGGTATGTCTAGGTGGTTTTTCTTGTTGATAGTTTTTCTTTTTGCTATTTATCCTGTTTGGTGTTCTCTGAGCTTCTTGGATCTGTGGTTTGGAAAGTTCTCAGCCATTATTTTTTTGGAATATTTATTCTTTCCTATTCTCTTTGGCATTCTAGTTATGCATGTGTTACACCTTTTGATATTGTCCACAGTTCTGGGATGATCTGGGATTTTTTTTTAAATCTTTTTCTCTTTGCATTTCAGCTTCTATTGACCCATCTTCATGTTTACTGATTCTTTCTTCAGCTTTGTTGAGTCTACTGATGAGCCCATGAAAAGCATTCTTTATTTCTGTTTTAGTTCCCTTGATTTCTAGCACTTCTTTTTTATTCTTTTTATATTACAGTTTTCGTCTCTCTACTGACATTATCTATCTTGTATTATATGTTGCCTGCTTTTTCCATATCAATTATAGTTATTTTAGTTTAATAAATTCTCTGTCTAGGAATTCCTACATATGTGTCATATCTGAGTCTGGTTCTAATGATTAATTTAGCAAATCAAGGTGTATAGTACATTGCATATAGAATGTTCTCTTTAATCTAAAAAGGGGTGAAAATTTTTTAAAGTGTTCGTATTTGCTTGTATATTTATAAAGAACATAGCAAGAATATAGTGAAAAAATATTCTTCCCACCCATTTTTATTTTTTCCTTCATCTACACTTTCTCACAGATAAAAACTCATTAGATTCCAGGGATGAAATCAATGAAATGTTTAAATATACTACATGTTTAAAAAGTTACATAAAAAATAGAATATGTCTTCACCTTCTACTTCTGGTTTAAAAGTTTTCCCTTTTTTTCTCTTGTTCAAACTTCCTGATGCTAAAGACGCCCTAACTCTTGGGTTTTATTCTTCCTCACATATAAGTATCAACACAAGCCCTTCAGAAATATTGAGGCATATTTTTATCATGGGACATGTTTATTTAAGTCATTACTGGCAAGGTAGATGAAGACTTGAGTTGCTTTTTCTAGTTATTATTGTCATATCAATAATATTCAACCTTTACACAAATTATAATAATTAGCAAGACAAATTTTAAACATTTGACTGTGGGCAATACTTTTTATATACCTTCGTGTTATCCTGGAGCTTCTTTGTAGATGTGTTGGTCAAGCCATGTGGATCTGTGCTGTTCACCATGGCTACCATTGTGAGGCTCAGACATGTGCGCTGTGCCATTACTAAAACATTACAACAGTGCAGGAGGAGAGACAGTCCATAGCGAAAAGAACAAAAACCTGGAACTAGAAAGTAGAACAGAAAGTCTTAATTGTTAACACAGCTGAGATAAAAAACATACTTTAACTTTAGGAGGGCCATTCATAAATTTGGAACCCTAGATATTAATCTAAAATTTTGTTGTTACTTAATGACCTTTCAGAAATTACTAGAATTACTATATAATAGGAAGATTAATGATCCCATGCCCCCCAAAAATATAATCCCAATTAGAATGTCCCAGAAAATTAAGCCAGTGTTTCAAGTACTTTGGCTCATATCTATTTTATTTTTTATTTATTTATTTTTATTTCAGTATATTACTGGGGTACAAATGTTTAGGTTATGTATATTGCCTTTGCCCCACTGGAATCAGAGCTTCAAGCGTGTCCATCCCGCAGACGGTGTACACCGCACCCATTAGGTGTGTATATACCCATCCCCTTCTGCCCGCCTCCCATCTGCCCGACACCCAATGAATGTTACTACTATATGTGCACTTAAGTGTTGATCAGTTAATAGCAATTTGATGGTGAGTACATGTGGTGCTTGTTTTTCCATTCTTTTTAAAGGGATCTTTTGTAAATACCCTGGGTTACTCTTGGAAGTAAGTCCCCTTAATAAAAAAAAAGACGTCATCTCTTAAGAAAATTGCTTCGTTTTCCAAACTTAGAAGAATGCTCTGGTCGAGTAATTCATATGTGCATATTATAGAGAAAAACTGCATTTCAAAAAATGTAATCACTTGTTGAGATAGTATCAATCTAGATTAATCAGTGTTGTGTTGCAAGCCAAACACATTCATCAATGGAAGAAAGTAGGAAGTCCAGAGACAGATTCACATATATGGTCAAATGTTTTCAGATAAATGTACTAATGCAATTCAATGAAGAAAAGTAAAGTATTTTTCCTTCAATGAATGGCATTTTTCAAGAGAAATATAAATATATGTCTACAAAAACACATGTACAGAAATAATTATAGCAGCTTTATTCAAAGTAGCAGAATGTTTAGAAAAGACAAACATTGTGGTATATTAATACAATGCATATTACTCAGAAATAAAAAGGAAGAAACTGCTGATACATACAACAATCTGGGTGAATATGGATGAATTTCAACACAACAATGCTCAGTTAAAGAAGCTAGACACCAAAGAGTATATACTATAGGAATCTGTCTTTAGGAAGTTCAAAAAAGGTATAGTTAATCTATATGGCCCTCTCCATCTCCAAAGCCAGCAATAGGAATCTACTTTATGTTAAATCTCCTTAACTCCTCTCTCTGTCTCTGACCTCTAGACCCAGATTTCAAGGGCTCATGTGATTAGATAAGTCCTGCCTGCATAATTTCACTATTTAAGATCAACTGATTTGGGACCATAATGACATCTGTAAAACCCCATCAAGCAGCATGCAACACCTAGCTTAGCGTTTGTTTAAATAAGTGGGAGAAGGTATGTATACACCAGGAGCTGGGAATCTCAGGGATAACTTAGAATTCTGCCTACCACAGTCCACCCTCTGGCCCTTAAAGATTCATGTCGATCTCACTCACAAAACACATTCACCCCATCCCAAGGTTCCCAAATCCCTCACCTTATTACAGTGTCAGCTCAAGTCTAAAACTTCATTGAAATCTCATTGGCACAAAGTTCAAAATCTCATCATCTAAATCATTTGTGGATGAGGCTCCTAGAGTAATCCATCCTGGGGCACAATTTCTATCAGTGGACTTGTGATACTGAAAAGACAAGTTATATGCCCCTAACACTTTCACTGTATAATGGTGGAACAGGCATAGGATAAAGTTATAGACATTCCAGCTCCAAAAGGGGGAAAATGGAAGAAAAAAGTACTCATTGATCCATGAAAGTTTTGAAGTTCAGCCAGACAAGTGATAGATTTTTCATGAGACCTGGAGATAATCCTTGTGGCTCTACCCTCTGGGCTCTTGGCTCTATCTTCTGCACTTACTTAATGGTTCCACCAAGAATACAACAGGGGCTGGGAATCTTGACAGCCATCTTAGAATTCTGTCTACCACACATCCATAATTAACTAAGAGTTTTTATTATGAATAAATATTAACTTCATAAAGAGGTTTTTTTATATCTATTGAGATGATCAGATAGTTTTCCTTTTTTAATTAATTTGTGTTGAATGACATTTATATATTTTCCAGTATTAAACTATTCTTTCATTCCTAGGATAAACCTGACTTAGTTTTAGTGACTTTAAAAAACGTTTTTATGAATTCTTAGACTTGTTTTGCTAATATTTTATTTAGTATTTGTGTATCTTTACTTATGATTTTATAGGGTTATTTTGCTTAATATAATCTATCTGGAGCTATTTTATTAGATACATAAATATTTTAATATAATCCCATTGAATTGAATTTTGCATCATTAGGCAACATTCTTATAAAATTGTTTAAAATGCTAAAAGATTTTAAACAAATTAGATGTTTTAAATCAGTGATCAGTTAAATAAATTATAATTTATTCATACAAAAGTCATTTGTAGTTCTAAAAAATTCTAAGGCAACTTTCTATGTAAAAATGTAGAATACTTTTTAGATATACTGTTAAATGAAAAAAAGCATTAGTATCTGACAAACAGTTGGCTGGTTTTCTGGACGGAGCTTCCATTGTAAACAGATAAGAATATTAGATAAAATATGTTTAAAATAAACCATTTCATTAACAACATGGATGGTGATCTAGCAGGAAAGATGGACCATTCAGGCCAATGCTTAGTGAAGACAGGGTCCTCAAAACATAAGCTGAGCATTGAGGCAGATTTTTCCCTGTGGACTTTTGATCTTGAGATTTTTGGCCTTCCAGGGTACGAGGACAACAGAAATCAAACACCAACATCCTAGCAATGGGGGAGTATAGTAGGAGACCTTCCCCCAAAATGCTTAGATGCTAAAGACTTACTGGGTCAATGAAGGATGTCCCCACCCTTGGGGGCAGACTGCCAAAAAAATTTGCCCCGTGTGAACCTTACAGCTGAGCAGAAGGGAAAGAAAGAACTCCCTGAGAAATTTGCTCATCAGCCAGACCTTCCTTAGATTTGTAGTGTAACCTCACTGTCTTTGAGTCATCTAAAAAAAAAATCTCGAACTACACACACACATGCATGCACGCACACATGCACACACACACACATACATATACTGAGGATAGCTTGCTCCAAACGTTTCTAAACACAACCTCAAATGCAAAAGGGAAGTGAATGGGCCTAGAAAGACCAAAACATTGTGAGAACCTCTGGAGGAGAGCAAAAAGCCCCTGGATGGTGAAGGGGAAGCAATCCTTACCATGTTCAGAGAAAGGCTCATTGTCCTGGTCAGTTAGGGGTGACTTTTCAAGTTTTACTCATTTTTCTCCTCTGCATTGCTCCAGGAAGACCATGAATTATGTCTAAATAAGTCTTGAGTTAAAAGGAAACCACACACAAAAAAAAGGAAACCACGAGAGGGATTCTAAAGTACTTGGGACTGAGTAACCATAAGAATACTGCATTTTAAACTTATAGACAGAGCAAAAGTTACATCTCTAAATATATTTATCAGAAATGAAGAAAGAACTCAAAAACTTGGAAACTGAACAAAGGAACAAACCCTAAACAAAGGGTCTAAAAGGAAGTAAACACTAAGCATAAGGGCAGAAATCAATAATATATAGAACACACACACATATATATATATATATATAAATTTGAACAAAGATGAAATGGACAATTTAAAAATCAAAATAATAAATATCAAAATTGATACAGAAAGAAATACAAAATTTAAAGACCACTAGCTTTTACATAAACTGAAAAAGTATATATTCTACTGTCCAACCCTTGTTCTTGGATTTTGTCCCCCATGACATGGACACAACTCTAAGCCAATGGTGGTAATTCCTTATCGTGCTTACCCTGCCCTGCTTAAAATAAACAGTTTCCCTCAAAAAAATGTTCAGTAAACATCCAAGTATTGCTGTCCAAGGATTCAGTGACTCAAGAACATTCATCCTGCCTCGGTTCCTTTTATGGATCTGTCTCCTGCATTAGATGGAACCAAACAACCCCCATTTTTTCTAATAGTTTTCACCCAGTGATAAACTGACAAGTGTACAAGAATGGAAATAAGTTAAAGTGTGAGCAACAAGGGTACACAGAATCTTTATTTAGGGCTTTTCTGATGGAAAATTATAGCAGAAAAGATTTTTTTCACTTACTTTCTTAAGACCTCTTATGTGTTTCCATGGCAAAATTCTCTCACATGGAATCTGTAGTGTCCTATTTAAGAAGGAGAAGCCTGTATAAGAGAACTGAGAATAAAGTGCTACCTTTCTTGGGAGGGAACTGGTTATCCATTTGCATGCAGGGCTGAAGTTGCTTCTGTTCTTGCCAAAGGGTTTGGTTTCCATCCACTGTGAGTGCAAAACACACTGATGTCAGCATAACTTAGGGAGGCAACTGACTAAACACCACCCGGTACTTCTGTCTGATTTAAAATCTGCATCAAAGCAAAACTTGCTCCATCATACCAGTGCCCATTCAACTCCATTATGTGCTTCCTTTGATATTTCACTTTTATGATATTTTTGGTTGATTAAAAATATACAGAAAAACTGAAAACTATAGAAAACAAAACAAAACGAAAACCCTGCCAACCCAGAATTCTATGTCCAGTTATCTCTCAAAAGTGAAAGAGAAATAAAGACTTTATTCAACAAACAAAAATTGAGGGAATTCATAGTCAGTAGAACTGCCTTTCAAGAATGTTAAAAGAAGCCCTTCAGATAGGAAAAGACCATAGATCAGAAACTTGGCAGTACAACAAGAAAGGAAGAATGTCAGAAAAGGAATAAGTAAAATTTTTTTCTTTGTCTGAATCTTAATACAGCGAAGATAACTACTGCTTATTAATGTCACCAGCTTGAGCAGCAGTACATCACCTCCACATGCACCTGTCTGTATCTTCGGTATCCATGGATGGAGCAGCCACTGCTGCCAAGTCCCCATTTTATGGCAGGAAGTTCAGCAAAGCAGATAAATGGGAATGGAGCAGTCTCAAATAAGGCAACTCTTTACAATCAGAATTCAGCACCAACATGCATTGATCAGTCTAGACCTCAAGACTTGACCACATCAGTTTATGTGACACCAGGTGCCCCAAAGATACCTACGCCCTAAGATTGGATTTGCAAAGTATTTTTGAATGAGCAATTTGTCAACCACTGTTATTACACATTGAAACTTCTTCTGGAGTTGATATTTATTCAATACTCACATAAACACACAGATACAAACTTAACACATGCATACCACACACACACACACAAACCACCCATACATACACAGCACACATATACATATAGCATAAACACACAGCACAGCCTCCCCCTCAGGCTCTCTACCCATCTAATCCATACATACATACAAACCAAACATACAAACACATTACAATACCACATACACAACGCATGTACAAACTACACACAGCTCACACACATAACCACACACATAGACAAACCACAGGCACATACACACAATAAACACACAGTGCACCACACATATCACCGACACACCATATCCCTTACAGATGCACAAGCACTACACACCGCACAACACATAACTTCTCTTTCCCTGTGTCCTTGTGCACAACTGTCTACCTCACACTCATTCCTAAAATATGTTCTTTTTTCTTTCCCTTGTGAAAAGCCTCAGAAGATAGGCATAGGCATATTTTTCACCCAGATTTTCCTATGTTGGTAAATACCTTCAATAAGATCTTTGCCAGAGAAGCCCCCTTATTGCCCTCTGGGGAATTAACTAATTGTTTATTCATTTAATGAGCAGTGTAGGAAAGTAAGACTAACCTGATTTGGAACAGAAAAGTGATTCCTTCTTCCACCGTGTGGACTTTTGTCTCAGCTTTACACAATACTGAATTTCTACATTTGCCAACTTTAGCCCCATAAAGACTTTGACAAGTCCTTTGACATCACTATGTCAAAGTTAAAAGCTTATTTTTTAACTTTACCCTTTTCTTGAATCTTCAGGGGAGTTGTATGAGTCCCAAAATGACCCAATGGACTTGAAACCTCCTGGGAATTTGCCAGTAATTTCACGGCATATGAACAAATATCCTGCCCAGGAGGTAGAACTTGCCTGCCATAGGTACCCCCAAGATTTCTCTATTGAGGATGGCTCTGGGTATACAATGCTGTTCTCACAGGAATGCTGTGACTTTCTAAATGTCCCCTGAATGCTCTGTTAAACTTTCTCCCTGCATTCCTTCCCTCCCTCCCTTCTTTTCTTTCCTCCTTCTCTTTCTCTTCCTCTTTCTCTCTCTCTTTCCTTTTCTTCTCTCCTCCTCTCTTCCTGTCTCTTCTTCTCCCTCGCTCCCCCACACTCCTCTCTCTTAAGGGTCACATCTGTTTGACATTCAGCATACTCAGAAAGAGGTACACTTTATTGAGGCATGTCCTCTGAAAAGTGTGACTTCCTCATGACTTTTCCTGCAATGACTCTGTAAGCTCTGGTTCAGCTACATGGCTATAGCAATACTTGGGAGCATTTTTAATTTGGAACTCTTTGAAAGTGATCAATTAGAAACATATGAAGCCCTGAAATTAGTGATTTTGCACTATACATAATTTATCATATACTTAGTAAGCATTTTTATTTTTTATTATGCTCTTAAAGTGCCTGTTAAATGTTTCGCACATAGCAGATGCTCTATACATAGACTAGTTATTTCTTCTCTAAAGAAATGTTGTAAATCTTTAACCCCTTTGCCCAAGAGACTTTGATGTCTTGTGATTTGGATTTTTTCTTCTTCAGAAGTCCAGGTTCTGCTGATCCTCTTCTCTATGTTACAGAATGTCTGAATTGTCTGTTCTGTTTCGTGCTATTTCTGGCACTTTCTGATTGAGAGCCCTGGTTCAGCAGTTGTTCAAAGTTCATATTTAGATAAACAACACCTCCATCTGGCCTCAATGTCACAGGTTCTGGGTACTGATTACCTAAAAGGGAACCATCTTTCTGTTTGCTGTTCCCAGAGCTTTCTGTTACCCTGTGAGTTTCTTTGAAATTACTTCTTCTGGATTGTGGGTTTTACTAAGTTTTTTAATTTAGCATTTTATTATGGAAATTTTGAAACATACAAAAAAAGTAGAACAGTCTAAAATAATCATATACCTATTAACCAGCTTCAACAATTATCAATATTTGGTTTTCATATCCAATGGCTGTTTTCTGCAGCATTTTAAAGCAAATTTCAGACATATGTCATTTCTTCTGTGCAAAGTTCAGCATGGATATCTAATTCATTAGGACTTTTAAAAATGTAAATAACATGCCATTGACACATTAGTAAATACACAATAATCCCCTAATATCATGTAATATCCAACCATTATGGCAATTTTCCCAATTGCTTCAAAGTTGTTTCCTTTATAAGTGCTTGATTTAAGTGATGATCCAAATACAATCCACATAACAGCACTTAATTGTTAGGGCTCTCATGTCTCTTATTTTATAACAATCCCCTCTCCCATTTTATACTTGCTGTTACTTAAAAATAACAACAAAACATGATCATTTGCAGAGTGACCCTGCAAATGGGTCGTGATTGATTTGGCTGATTGCTGTCTTTTAGTGTCATTTGATATATTTCTTTATTCATCTTGGGCAGCTGCTAAGGAGGTTTACAGAATTTTTCCCACTCTGAAGCCACTGAGCCATGAGCAATGAATCCCAGACGAGCCCCCAAATTTGTTACGGAACCCAAATGGCGTCCTGCCTAGGCCAAGTCACTTGCCACACAGAGAGCCAATTACTGAGACAATGAGGATTTCCAAGGAAGAAAGGAATTTTATTTTGGATGACATCAGCCAGCAAAACAGGAGGGGCAACCTCAAATCCATCTCCCCCACTGACTAAGGGCAAGAGCTTTTATAGTGGGTTGTAGAATGCAGGTCATATTGCATGGGGTTTGAAGTCATGAGGTCTGCCGGAGGTCTGATTCAAGAGTCGGCTGTTGGTGATGGATGGTGAGTCATTAGAAAGTCCTGCGGAGAATTTAGTTAAGCAAGAAGATTACAGTGTTCTGCTTGTTAGGCTTGACTGGTCTGAAAGTCTGGGTATTGGGGAGAGAGCAAAAAATAACTTATAAAGGGGGTCATTTTGCAAGGTTGATTACATAGTTAAATTATTGCTAAGACTACCTAGATATAAGAATAGCTTCCTGGAATACTTATATCTTCCACTGTGCCTGCTCACATGTGTTATGGAATATCCAAGAAATGGGAAAAAAATGAATCAAATGAACATTTTGGAAATGGTTTTAAATTTCTTATTGACTTGACACAAAACCTTGACATTGCAGTAACACAAAAATCATAATAATAAGCCTCTCATGTGATTCCCAGAAATATTTGAGCTTTATTGGAGGCTGAAGGCTTTATAGGAACAGGTCGTGGCTCAAGTTACATAAATGGAATTTTTTCCCCTATAAATGTGAATTCCCACCACCCTACACTGCAACCCATGCCCCAGGTTTGTGTTGCCTAGAGGAAACAAAGTTTTCGCAATGCATGTCATTATTTCTTAAATATCACCTGAAAATTTCCTATCTTAATAAAATAGCTCACTAGTTTTACCTATAAACAGTTCACTCCTGGTATCATGTGGATTATACCTATAAAAAATTCATGCTAAAAATGACTATATGAAAGATGTTGTGTTAGAGTCTGTGTGTGCCTGGTAATAAAATGTTTGCACGTAGTCATGGAAATGGAGATCAGAGTGTATAGACTGAAGGCAAGGGTACAGAAAAGAATACCAAACAGAATCCATCTTAAGTCAGTGCTTCTCTAGTTATATTTGTGCTCAAGCGGGGAGGCCAGATAGCCAGATCTTTTATAGAGCAAACTGGTCACTTCTGGCCAAATGACCCAAATTGCAAAGTTCTGAATGTGATGAAGGTGAGAAGAAGGAGCAGAAGGGGAAAGCTCCCTCTTATGAACAGAAGGGGAAAGCTCCCTTGCCCTTGGTTAAAACAACTCTGAAGTGAGACATACACTTTGAGAAGAGAACTTTCTCATGAGGTTGAATCAGACCTTGGCGGCTGCCCCTCCCTATGTGATCTCCTTCATTTATGATTCTACACTGTGATGGTGAAATAGGAACTGATGAAATATGTGTTCCAGAAAAGACAGCTGGCTGATGAGGCACTTAGTCCTGGGGTAAACCTTGAGCTAATGGGACCAGCAGGTGAGGCCTATAGCTCATGGTGAATGCACGTTGGTGGAGATCCAGCGGGATAACACAATGAACTGCTCAGTTCAACGTCGGCAGTGTATTCGGAGATCAAAAGAAATAACAATTTATTCATTTTATACAATGGAATTCTGGCTGTTATTAAGTTCTTGCCTTTAACACAAACACTATTACCTTGAGGATGCTATTTAACATCCTGGCACCTCAATCTCATCACTGCGAGGAAATGGAAATAATATTTTATAATCCACAGTGTTGTGAAGATTTAATAAAAGAACATATATAATTTCTTTATGCCTAGTGGGTGTTCCTGATTTAAGTAGAATACCCATTTAAGGATGGTGTAGGGTAGAGGTTAGAGGCACAGATTCTTGGATCAGACTTCCCTAGATTGAATCCCAGCTTTTCTCCTCTTTGCTGTGACCTTGGGCAAGCTACTTAACCATTCTATAACTCTTAGTAAATGTACACTACTGCTATTATTCAAGAAAAATCAGTTTCCTCCTCCTGAAAAAAAATCTCTCTCAGTGAGGCTGCTGCTAATGCTAAATGTTGTAGAGACAGCACAGCACATACTGGCTCTACATCTGCCAGGTTACCTAGAGACAGGGAAGAGGGTAAATAGCAAATATCCTGAAATGGCAATTCTATGGTGGCTGTGCTGAAAAAATGTTCCTACCAACCCTTGATGTGCTATCACACACACAAACCAACACCCAATGTGCTCACAAATGACTAAATCAACACACAAATTTCTCTCACATGGGCTTACTCCCTAGTGTACTGTCTATGCACAAGGAAACACCCAATATATTATCATCTAGACATACAAACCCCTCAGTAAGCTTCTCTGTGGGCCTCCTAACACCCTTTGTTGTATCAAAAGGATTTACCAACCCTTGGTATACTATGACATGGGCCTATGAAATCCTAAAGTACTGTCATACAGACCCCCATACTTGCTACCCTAAATGAACTATCATGTGGACAGACCAATAATGCATCTTCATTCAAAAAGGCAAATCAACATCATAACCCTGTTCAACTTCTTTTCTCTCTTATAAACATCTCATTGAATCAATTTTTAACCCCTAAGCAATATAAATGTCTCTGCTCACAAAACAAAAAAATAAAAACAACAAGGAAAAAACACCTTTGTGTGTGTTTTGGATTTCAGAGATCTTTAAGAACTTGGTTGCAGTAGGAAGAATAACATTGCTGTCTGTCTTAAACTTTAGGTGATCTCATTGTGTAATGTGAAACTTTAAAAAAATACACCTAAAGGTAGAGACATTTCAATCAACTGCTTCAATTTTAAATCATCTTTTATATTCACAGTAGACATTATAATGATATATTTAATAATCAAGACCTTGAGGCTGAGGTAAGCATTTCAAGCCTTTAGGTTGTACTGCACAATGGCAAATTTTTCTTTGTATTTTGGGACACTGAGATCAAAAGGAACAAAGAATATTCATCAAAAAAAATGTATCTACCTTAGAATGCCTTAATTTAGTTTAACAAGTATCATGAACAGGCATTTAATGAGAAGAAAATGGACATTCTTTCCTAAAGAGAAAGGTTATATTTCTGATTTTATGTTTTCTTGATACATGTTCAAGGCAAACACCTGCATCTGAATCCTGATTGTATTCTCTAAGACCTTGATCCATCTCTTTGTCCTGCTCTTCCATAACTTCGCTCCCATTGTTTCCTCCCCTAGAGCCTCCCATAGGAGGGTTCCATTTCTCCTTAGGTCACTCTTCCTTAACCTTGCATCCATCTGCTATATTCCCATCTCCCTTTCTCAACCAAACTTTGTGAAAATATTTCTCTTACTTTCTCTACCCTCTCATTCTCATTCACTCACCAACAAACTGCGAACCAACCTGCACAGCCATCTGTCTGCTACATACACCATGAAAAAGCCACCAGTGAACTCCTCATCACAAGATAACTAAGTTCCTTTCCTGACCTCATCTAACTGAACTTCTTTACTACACTTGTTATTGCTGATCAGCTGTTTTTCTTAAAAGGCCATGTTCATGAGTTTCAGTGAGAATTGTACTCTCCTATTGTTTCTCCCACTTACACACCTGACCCTTTCATCTCTGTTATGTGTGGGCATGTCTTATTTTGCCTGCTCCTTAAATGTTGGAATTCTGTCTTGGCTTGATGCTTTTCCTTCCACAGGCTCTTCTTGAGCAATTTGGTCTAAACTCAGATCTTTAGTACTAAACATCTGTATTTTTCTACTATATCTTTGTTTCCAGCTCAGTCCCTTTCTATAACTTTCAGATTAATGATCTGGTCCCTTCTTGGACATGCTGTTACAGATTTAATTGTAGCCCCCAAAAGATGTTGGAGTCCTAATCCTCAGTACCTGTGAATACGACCTTATTTTAAAATAGGGTTTTTGCAGATGATCAAGTTATGAAGAGGTTATTAGAGTAGACTCTAATCCAATATGACTGATGTCCTTATAAATATGGGAAATTTGGACACAGAGACAGATGCATACAGAAAGAAGATAATGTGAAGACTCACGGTGAAGTCCATTTTCAAGCCAAGGAATAGCTTTTAGCTTCCAGAAGCTAAAAGAGAAGCATAGAATAGATTCTTGCTCCCAGTCCTTAGAAAGAAACAACCCTACCAGCACCTTAATTTCAGACTTCTAGAACTGTTAAGATGATACATTACTGTTGTTTAAACTACCCAGTTTGTGGCACTGTGTTAGGGCAGCTCCAGGAACTAATACACATCCCCACTTGATTATCCCACTGTCATCCCCATCTCAACATGTCCCAAAGTCAAATTATTACCTTCCCACTGAAAAGGGCTCATCTTCCTGCATTATCTGCCTTAGTTGTTCAGACAACTCTCTACCCAGTCTCTCAGGTTAGAGACCCAGGGCTCCTTGATTCCTTCTCTCTTTTCCTGCATCCGTCTAATCAAATACCATGATTTTCCAATTCTACCTTATAAACATTTGTCATGTCTCTTTTTTTCATCTCAGCTCTCCTTGCCCTAGTTCAGTGTTCATCACTGCTTTGTAGACCACTGCACAGATGGTCCTTTAACTAGTCTTCCTTATTCTTGAATTAGGCCAAAGTGTTTTATCTAATGAGAAAATCTGCCCAATATTGCTTTGATGACTACCTTATTGCTTGTAAGATATACCTCAATTTCCCTGATAGGTAAACAAGACCTCTATATTCTGGCCATGCACACTTCCCTAAACTCATCTATCCTTTCCTAACTGATTATTCAGGCAGGTGATTCCCTTCAGAATCTATCCTATTTCTTGTTTTCATGCTTTTGCACAAGTTGGCCTGCAGTGTGGGAAATCTATTCCCTGTTAAATGTTTGGCTCAGGAATTACTTGCTAGAGGAGCCGCTGTGCTCTTCAACTTGGGATGGGAGCCCTCCCCACCATCTGGTCTCCCATAATGACCTGCATGTTCCTCTGCTATTATACCACAGTATACTGCTGTCTGTTACTGTGTCTGTTCTCTACATTAGAATGGAAAACAGTGACTACGTCTCATTTACTCCAGTGTCCCAAGAGCCCAGACTCTAACAATATCTCAGTAATTCTTGCGTTTATTCAAGCTTGCCTCTGTATATCCTTGCCCTGATTTTTCACTCATAACTATTGTCTATCACATTGCCTATATATGAAATGACTCAATGGTTCTAATCCCTATTCCATAGTAGAAATCAGCATAGGGGTCAACCCAGAACATGGTCCTGGACCCTCTGGTCATGCTCTGACCCACTGACATCTACAAATGATCATTTTATAAAAATACTAATTAATTTCATGTTTTGAGCTATATATATGATTTAACCACTGAATTAGCTGGATCCTAGAAGAAAGATGATAGACTTACACTGGGTAATTTGGGGACAGTGTTAACAGGGACAATTTTCACAGAATTGGGCAGGTAGTAGGGAAACCACAAGGGATTCTGTAGCAACCCAGAGCTAGCAAAATAAAGGCAAAAAAGGCCTGAAGGGACAAGGAAAGAGAGAAGTTACCAGAACATGTGAAGAGGGCTGCCTGCCAGGAGCTGTGAACAGTAGTGGAAAGATCACTCCTCCACAGGAGAGACCATCAAAGAGGTTCCACTCTCCTGTCTCCATTGAAAATCTAGTAGAAGCCAGTGGACGAGGGAGTGTGGGATGCAATCCATGATGGTCAGCCTCTTGGGGCCTGAGCAGGATGGAAAGGAATGAAGCACACACAGGGAGCCCCACATAGATAACACCCAAGCCAATGAATATAAATTAATATTATTTTCCCAAATAGGAAAAATCATGGCCCTAATGAGGTTGCCACCCTGGTTTAGGAGTTTTAAAACATTGTTTCTTGCACGCAGAAACAGAACCTAACACACTGGCTCCCACTCTGCAACTCCTCTTAACTCATTGTTAATTCTATGAAGATGACGACTTTATTCTGGGTTATTACTTTATTTGAATTTTTATTCATCTAAAATCTCCTCAAAAAGAAGTCTGAATAAAAGAAAGAACTGATCTCATATTTGAAAAGAGCCACAGCAAACGAAATTCTTTTCATTGGTATTTCCATCACCGGAGTCTTCTCATTTATTGAATAAAGTGGCTTATGACTTTTCCATCCATGGTAGAATAACTAAAAAAGGAAAATGACATGGAATTAAAAACTTCAAATAGTGCTTCTATGGTTTATAACCATGGATGAAATAATTATTCTTTACCTTCATAAACGAGTGAGTTTCCTCTCTTTAGCCCAATCTTGGATATCTGCTTCTCCAAATATGATGTAGAAGATCAGTCCTAATAGGTTAATGGCAAACATCAAGAAGAAAGTATTGTTCCACCCAAACTCAGGGTCCTGGGGACACAAAACTCCAAGTAAATATTATCCCTTTCATCTTTTTCCTATGAAACATTGTATTAATAATTCAGATGACAACATTCACTAGTAGGTTTCCATATAGAAATTCATTTCCTAAAAGTGATTGTTAGAAAAGATTTCAAAATACACTAAAAATGCTCTTAATAAAAGGGATTTAGGAACCTTCATGATTAACCTACAGACCTGAATTTGTCCCTGTTTATCAAAGTGCCATACATTTTCTCTTTTGCATGAATCTTATTTATGTAAGTGTTCAAGGTTCTTTCTACATTGTGATGGTGTAGTGAAAAAATTATGAGCTTTTGAGCTAGAAGAGTTTAAGTTAGAAGAATTCTAATTGTATATCCTGATAATGGAAAGACTTATTCTATCAGATTTTTAGTTGAATCATTAGGAAATGAGGATAATATTCAATTTTCACAATTGGTGTGAGAATCAATAATTAAAGAGTTTACTGAATATAAAATACCTATGTTAATGCCTGCATGCATCAGACACTTAAAAATGTTTGCTTTCATTATTCCTTTCCTTTTACATGGTTATGCAAATGAAAATTTCAGTATTAAAGAAGACATGGCAGGTTGGCATCTATGCTTGGAATCATCACCCCAAGACACCTATGTGGCTGTATGATTTCAGTTTCAAAGATGGCAACTATCAGTGGTTCACTAGTTCATTCTTTGACTCCGGAATGAACCAAGGTTGAGGTCACCAAAGAAATCGTTCTTTACCAGGTTCATCTTCATGACAAATTTAATTTTATTTTCCAATCTTTGAATACATTGTTTATGCTGTCACCTTTATAAATGGATTTGGCAGAACATTTTAAGATTCTTCTTAACAAGAAAACTCTACCTGACTGAGAAGAAATCCAGTGACCATGGGGACCAGGATATATGCTATGTGTGAAAGTTGCCTTGAGACTCCTGTGAGGAAACTGGAATACCTGTGGGGAACAGGAATGTTCCAGGCTAGATCCAGAGATGTTTCATAGTACCCTTCAGTCCTGCTCCATGTATGAATCCATAATTCAATTATATTTGTACAATTGTATATAATTATAATTACAGTTACATAATTATAATTTGATAATTATATCAAAAAGATTTGTACTGTGTATTTCAAAGAGAGGCACCAAGACAAATCAATACCCATCCCTCCCCCACAAAATACCTGAAAAAAATGGCCATAGGTCCCTCTGTGGTCCTTGCCTGTGATTTATCCTTTTCTAAAATTTGGGGCTCCCAGAAAGCTGCAGTCTAAATCTTTTTCAGAAAATGGGAAACTAATAGCAGAGATAAGAGTCCTACCTTGGGGCAATATCTAAGGTATTGATATGGATCCCTGCTTGGCAAAATTGGCTTAGTACACATGACAGCGTCAGAAAGGCAACTGTAGTGATATAGTTGGAATTAAGGTAGGGCAGGGCCACAATAAATGCTGAAGCGGGTAGATTTCCTAGGGAATGAGGAACAAACAAGTTAAACAGATGTATCCTTTGGCTGTTGCATGCCTTGTGAATTATTCAACTCTCAGGCCCTGTTCTTACCTAGAACTGTGGCAATTTTCCTCACAGTGATGAGCCTAAAATTCTTGCTCAGAAGGAAATCTGCCAGACAGCCTCCCAGGATACCAGTGGCCCAGGCACAAAGGAAAGGAAAGGCTGATAGGACTCCATTCTGAGGGGAAAAGATTAAGTAAGTCATTATAATAAAGGCAGTGAGATCACAACTCTTATTGATAAATCACTAATAATCATACTGACATTCTGAGATCATACTTTCTTAGGAAAATCAGTAACCTCTTAAATTATATCCCCAGAAAAGCCCCTGGCATGACTGTTAAATATTAGATTATTTTTGGTAATAAGAGATACATTTCTCTAGATGGAATGATTTGTGAAGACAGCATAATCAATGAGTCATGCAAATAGGAGAAGGGGATGGAGGGAAATATACTCACATCTCTGATGTTAACACTGTGCACAGAACTGATGTAAGTTGGTGTGTACACAATTATTATGGTAAGTAACCAATAATGGCCTAAACTGCAAATACAGATGGACCAAAAGGGTAGAGATCTGAATATAGCCTTGATGGGAAGAGGCTCCTTAAAAGAACTGACCTGAAAACAAATTTACTTAGTAAGAACAGTAAGATCTGAGAGATGCTCACACACTCTTAGTTACCCTTAGAAATCCACATGCTGACACAAGGTCCCTGGAAAGGGTTAGAGTCCTGACGCATACCTGTTGGTCCAAGGAGGATATGATGTATTCTTTTTCTGAGGTACTTATCCATGGGTGAGAGGCAGGGTCATCATAAGCCAGAAAAAACCAGAGAAGGCAAAAGACACAGCCAGTGCCTCCTGTATGTAAGCACAGGGTAAACTTGGTAAGTGGGCTGATTTCTGCCTTTTGTGTGAATTGCTTTTATGATGGGACATTTTCTGGCATAAGTCTTGGGAAAAGCTCTTATTTATTATATTCCCTTTCCATTTCTCAAACAGTGCACATGAATATCACAGCTAGAAAGCACCCATTTCTTTACATTTCTTGTTTATTTCTGTGTGTGGACATCACAGACCCTACGAGTGGTACCGCACTTGGTATCTCAATCTTTTTAATATTAGCCATTCTAAAAGATGTATAAAAACCACTCACTATGGTTTCTATCTGCATTTTCCTAATGACTAAGGATGCAGAATTGAGCATCTTTTCAAATGCCTATTTTCCCTTTCTATATCTTGTTTGGTGAAGTGTCTTTGCCCATTTTTAAATGTTTTTTTATTATTGAATGTTGTGAATTATTTATACATTCTGGATAAAAGTCATTATACATGGGTTTTGCAAGTATTTACTTCTTGTATCAGCTTGTCTTTTTAATATCCTAACAATGCCTTTTGAAGAGGAGACCTTTTTAACTTTGATGAAATCCAATTTATCAATTTCTTATTTTATGGATGATGATTTTGATGTCATTTAGGAAATCTTTGCCTAACCGAAGAACAAAGATTTTCTATTTTTTTCTAGAAAGATTTTTATACCTTTTTCAGATTCTATAGTTAGGTCTAGGATTCATTTTGAGTTAGTTTTTGTATATGATGCAAGCTATGGATCTAATTTCATTTTTCTGCATATGAATATCTAATTTTTGAGCACATCTATTAAAAAGACTATCCTTTTTCTAATGATTACACTTTTGTCAAAGATAAATTTATATTATATGTATAAGTCTATTTATGACTATTCTGTTTCATTGATCTATTTGTCTATTTTTAAGCCAATACCATACCATCTCAATGACTGTAACTTCATAATATTTCTTGACATCAGGTAGTGTTAGCCCTATAACTTTGTAATTTATTTTCAAAGTTGTTTGACTATTCTAGAATCTTTGTGTTTTCATAAGAATTTAGTTTTCAGTGCATTAGCTCTTTCACGTCTTTTGTCAGATTTATCCCCGTGTTGCGTAGTTTTTGATGTGATTGAAAATGATACTGTTGTCTTTAATTTAAATTTCTAATTATTTCAGCTTTTGTATGATTGAAAATATCTTTATTTTGGCTTTGTTTTTGAAACAATTTTTTCACTTGATCTGTAATTCTAGGTTGACCATGTTTTTTTTTTTTTTCTTTCACTATTTTAAAGATGTTCCACTGCCTTCTCTCTTGCACCCCTTCTGACAGAAATGCTGCATTTATCATTATCTTTGTTCCTCTGTATAAAACATGTCTTTTAGCTTTGGCTGCTTTCAGATTTTCTCTTTATTATTGGTTTTAATCCATTTGATTATGATGTAATTTGTTGTAGTTACTTGTGTTTGAGGTTCATTGACCTTTTGGGATCTGTGAGTTTATAGTTTTCATCAAATTTGGAAAGCTTTTGGACATTATCTCTTCAAATATTTTTGTTGTTTTTGTTCCCTCATCCTACTCCTTTACTTTGGTCACTCCACCGCTTACTGATGTTCTCATTTTATTATTATATTTTTCTCTGCGTGGCTCATTGTGGATGGTTTCTATTGCTGTTTTTAAGTTCATGAATTTTTCTTCTATTGTATCTAATCTATCATTAATTCCATTCAGTGCCTTTTTCATCTCAGATATTGTACTTTTCATCTCCAGAAGTTTGATTTGGGTCTTCTTATATTAATATTTACTATGTTTCCACTTAACTTTTTGAATATATAGAATTATGTTATAATCCAGGTGTAATAACTATTTTTAACGCCCTTGTCTGCTAATTCTAAAATTTCTGTCAGCTCTGGGTCAGTTGGGGATTGATTTATTATTTTCCTCATTATAGATTGTATTTTTCTGCTTTTCCTCATGTCTGGTAATCTGTGGATGGAGCCAGACTTTGCTAATTATATCTTTCTGTATGCCGAATAGTTTTTTTTTTTTCAGAATGTTATGGGGGTACAAACGTTTTGGCTGTATGAATTGCTTTTGAGTCAAAGTTATAAGTGTTTCCATTCCCCTTTATTGTGCATTGTACCCATTAGGTGTGAATTTAACCATCCTCTCCTCCATCCTCCCACCTGCTTGACTTCCACTGAATTTACTACTCATATGTATACATGAATGTTGATCATTTAGTTCCAATTTAATAGTGAGTACATGTGGTGTTAGTTTTTGCATTCTTGAGTTGCTTCACTTAGGATGATCTCCAGTTCCATCCAGGTTGTTACAAAAGGTATTAGTTTACCATTTTTTATGGCTGAGTAATACTCCATGGTATACATATACCACATTTTATTAATCCACTCATCTATTGATGGGCACTTGGGTTATTTCCCCATCTTTGCAATTGCGAATTGTGCTGCTATAAACATTTGAATGCAAGTGTCTTTTTCATAAAATGTCTTTTTTTCTTTTCGGTAAATACCCAGTAGTGGGATTGCTGGATCAAATAGTAAGTCTACTTTTAGTACTTTGAGATATCTCCACACTACTTTCCATAGTTTTGTATTCCTATAAATATTATTGAGCTTTGTTCTGGGGTATAATTGATATAATCAAATCATGTGGAAATATTAATAGTTTGATCCTTTTAGGTTTTGCCATCATCATTGATTAGAGAAATCCACAGCAGTATTCGCTCTAGGGCTAATAATTTCCCACTGTTGAGGAAAGAAATTTATGAAAATTCTACCCAATGCCCCATGAATTATGAACTTTTCAGTCTGTCTTATGTGAAGAGGCACTACCCCTGATTCTCTGTGAGTCCTGAGTACTATTCTCTAATATTTACCAATGATCCCCCCCAACACACACACACACATAATCTGATCAGTACTCTGCTGAGTACTCAAAGGGGACTCTGCAGATAATTGGGGTTTTCTCTACGTACAACTGTCTCCTCTTAGGTAATCTATCCTATGAACTCTACCTGTCTTATGCTTTCCAGACTCTTAGCTCTGCTTCCTCAACTCAGAGGTTCTGCTGAACTTTGTCTAAATTCCCCTTTCCTGTACCATGCCCTAGAGCTCATCTCTCACAGGTCATTGTTTTTCCTCTGAGGTCCAGTGTCTTGACAATCACTCTTTCATATATTGTGTCTGCTTTTCTTTTTCTTTCCGACTGTTTCACACCAGAAGGTATATCTAGTGCTTCTTACTATATGTTAGGCAAATGTGGACACTCAATACAGGTTTATGTTTGCTGCCAGCCTCATTGTGTCCATGAATTACAATGAATTTTGAATGTTGAGCCTGCCTTACATCCCAAATGTAAATTTTCCTAGTCATGATGCACTATGCTTTTTATTTATCGATGGGTTCAACTTGCTAATATTTTTTTCAGGATATTTGTGTTTAGGTTCATGAGAGATGTTGGTCTGTAGTTTTCCTGTTTTGTAATATCTATGTGTGGTTTTGGTATTAAGGTAATTCTGGCTTTAAAACTTGAGTCATGAAGTATTTTCTCTTCTTCTATTTTCAGGAAGAATTTGTGTAGAATTGATATCATTTCTTACTTACCTATTTGGTAAAATTTGCCAGTGTAACCATGTGGGTCCGGGCTTTCTGTTGTTGTTGGAAAGCTTTAAACTAAAAAGTCAATTTCTTAATATTCAGTTTATCTCTTCCTTCTTGTGTGAACTTTGTTACTCTGTGTCTTTCAATTAGTTTGTTCATTTTATCCAAATGATTAAATTTGTGAACATGGAGTGTTTTGTAATATCCCCTTATTATGATTTTAATGTTTGTAGAGCCTATATTAGATTCCTTTCTCATTCTTGGTATTGGTTATTTGTATCTCCTCTCTCTCTCTTTCTCTCTTTATCTCTCTCTCTCTGTCCATCTGGCTAAAGATTTGTTGATGCTATTGATCTTTTCAAAGAACCACTTTTTAATTTTATTGAATCTCTTTTTTTTTGTTTAAGTCCATTAATTTCTGCTCTTATTTTTGTTACTTCCTTCTGTTCAATTTGGGTTTAATTAGCTTTTTTTTTCTAGTTCTTAAGGCATAAGCGTATATCATTAACTTGAGACCTTCAGTCTTTTCTAATATAAACATTTAATGTTAAAAGTTTCTAAGCACTGCTTTAATTACAACCCACAAATTTTAATACAGTGATTTTCATTTTCATTCAATTCAATTTTAAAATTTCCCTTCTGTCTTTTTCTTTAGCTCATTGGAAGTATGTTGCTTACTTTTTAAATATTTGGGTCATTTCCAGAAAACTTTATGTTATTTATTTCTAGTTTAATTCTATTATCTTCAAAGAACATAATTATACTTTCTATAATTTTCAACTCATTTAAATTTGTTAAAGCTTGTTTTTATGGGCCATAGATTGTCTATTCTGGTGAACGTTTGAAGCACACTTAAAAACAGTATTTTACTGTTGTTGAATGAAGTGTACTTCATCCATTTTTCTTATTCTATTGATTATTGAGAGAAGAATTTTGAGGTCTGCATCTCTAATTTTTGATGTGTCTTTTTCTCCTTACTGTTCTATCAGGTTTTGCTTTATGTATTTTGAAGCTCTGTTGTTAGGTGCAAATACATTTCAGATCGTTATGTCTTCTTGATGAATTGATAATATTCCTTGTTCTGAAGCCATTCTTTTCTGATATTGTTGTATCCATCTAGTTTTCTCTTGATTAATATTTCTGTGGTACATCTTTGTTCCCTGCACTCTGCGGGATCCTGAAAACCAGTAAGATTCTATCTCTGCCCTCAAGGAACCCACTGACTAAAAGGGGAAATGAATGTGTAAACAAATAAATACAAGCTGATGAGAATTTTGAAAGTAAAATGTAAAAGCTACTGAAGTGGAAGCTGTGGAGGGAGCAGTTGTTTCTTGATTTCTAATAGTTAATGGAAGGCTCTGGGGCAAATGCTGAGGTTGGCAGAATTCATCCTGTTGGTGTTTAGTGTTTTCTCTTCTTTAAGTAAGTGGAGCCTTACCCAGGATGCCTCATTGCTATGCTTAATCTGAGACAAAACCCACAGTGGCACCTATCTTTCTTGATTTCTTCCATCTCTTACAAACTATTGCTCTGTAAGTCTATTGTCTACTACCTACAATGGCAATAGAGTATGCCTGATCACATTGTGATAATACAATGTGGTAGGTTAATAGCACTTTATAATAGGCAGAAGGACTTCCAAATTTTTTGATGACCTAGGTCAGAGGTGGAGAATCTGCAGCTTTGGGGCCACAATGTGGCCTTCTGGATCCTTGAGTATGGCCCTTTGACTGAATCCAAATTTTACAGAACAAATGCTTTTTCTGTAGGATTTATTCTGTAAAGTTTGGATTCAGTTGAGGGGCTGCACTTGGGGACCTGGAGGGCCACATGTGTTAATTGTTCCCTTATATTATACTAAGATATTTTGTTTTGGGGGGATTTTTTTTATCTTAACTCATTTCCTTCAAAAAATTACATACAAAGGTACATACTCAGAAGAATCTTCCTTAATACAAAAACCTGGGAATTTGGAGAGAGTAACTTACCAAAGACATAGAAGGCAAAAGGCCACCCAATGGCTTGACTAATGAAACCACCAATGAGGAGGGCAGTGAAGGATCCCAGTGGCATTCCTGCAAAGAGACAAAAGTAATCTGTGGGACTCTGGACTCCCACCCAACAAACACATACAGACTGATGGATGACATGTTAGAGGGCAGTAACTCTAAACCATAAAGAGACAAACATATTAGAATACATGAACTTCAGATTTATGATTTAGTTCATAGGTTCTCCTGAGAACACATTTTTCTGGCAGTTCCCTAGTAACATGGCAGTTGACAGTCATTTTTCCTTTCATACTGCTTTAATTTTTAATTATATAAGTCATATATGCTTATCGTAAAAGTAAACTACTGCAAAGAGTCAGTTTCTCTCATGTGCCTTCCCCATTCATTCTCACTCTTCTCTCTAAAGTTAACCATTAGTAACAATTGGTTATACAATATATAATTGCATACCTTTTCCTTTTTGCACACATACATAATATATATCTACACATATAATCATCTTCTTTGTAAATGCATTTATGTCCTATGTAGACAGAAAGCTACATTTTTCTATAAGTGTGCTAATAACTCTTTTAATTTCCATAGCTTTATAGAGCATTCTAATATGGTAGGGCATGTTCCCTTTTTACAACTTTTTCAGACATTTCTAGGCTATTATATTTTTTATTTTCCAGAGGAACATTAACATCAACTTGCCAAATTTTACGTATATAGGAATTATTATTTTTAAATAAGCAGGATCATAATGTTTCTGTTGTTTTGTGACTTCATTTTTCATTTAACAATTGGTCTTGTAAGTATTTCCATATCACTATGGATTCTACCAAGTTAGTTCTGAAAATAGACATAATTACTAATTTCTGAATATAAACATAATTTATTTCTGTGCAATAGAATATCAGAAATAGACTTACTAGATTGAAGGCTATATGCATTTTAAATTTTGGTAAATACTACCAAAGTATTAGGTTGGTACAAAAGTAATTGTGGTTTTACCATTGTGGAAATTTGCCATTTGATATTGAAACACATTCTTAAATAAACGTGGTTATGTTATACATCATTTCAATGCACATTTCTGGCTTTATGTTTTTTGCTAATGACTTATTAATTGCTGTTTATTTTATATTTATTTTAGATTATGGAAATGATATTGGACAAAAAGCAGATTTGAATGATTTTCTTATTCAAGTTCAAAATGGGTTGTAAAGCAGCGGAGACAACTTGCAACACCAACAACACATTTGGCCCAGGAATTGCTAACGAACCTACAGTGCAGTGGTGGTTCAAGAAGTTTTGCAAAGGAGACAATAGCCTTGAAGATGAGCACAGTGGCCGGCCATTGGAAGTTGACAATGACCAACGGAGAGCAATCATCGAAGCCGATCCTCTCTCAACTACAGGAGAAGTTGCCAAAGAACTCAGTGTTGACTATTCTATCATCGTTCCGCATTGGAAGCAAATTGGAAAGGTGAAAAAACTCGATAAGTGGGTGCCTCATGAGCTGACTGAATATCCTAAATATCGTCGTTTTGAAGTGTCGTCTTCTCTTCTTTTTTTCATAACGTATTTAATTTTTAATTATGTTACATGATTTCCTGAATTCCTTACATAGTACATATGGTTAAAATTTGAGTGTTAGCCATAAACTAATGAAACTTGTTCCAAGGTAGCTATAACAGTTATTGTACTTTTTTCTGAGCAGTATTAATAGTCAATTTAAGAAAGAATAATTGAATCTGTTATCTTAACTCCTTCTATTCAATTTTTATAATTTAATCAAATTAATCTTCCTTAATCACTACTTTCATGCTATCATTCCCTTTCTCAGAAAAAGTTTTTTTTTAATTCAGAATATGATGGGGGTACAAACATTTTGGTTACATAATAATGCCTTTGCCTCGCCCAAGCCAGAGCTATAAATGTGCCCTTCTCCCATACAGTTCACTCTGCACCCATTAGTTGTGAGTTTACCCATCCCCACCACTCCCCTCCCACCTGACCAGTACCTGATGAATATTACTTCCATGCGAGTACCTTAGTGTTGATTAGTTGGTTTTCTCTTCTTATACGCAAAAACAACTAACCATTTCTGGATCGGATTGTGATGTGTGACAAAAAGTGGATTGTATACGACAACTGGTGATAACCAGTCCAGTGGTTGGACCGAGAAGAAGCTCCAAAGCACTTCCCAAAGCCAAACTTTCACCCAAAAAAGGTCATGGTCCCTGTTTGGTGGTCTGCTGCCAGTCTGATCCACTACAGCTTTCTGAATCCTGGCGAAATCACTTCATCTGAGAAGTATGCTCAGCAAATTGATGAGATGCACCGAAAACTACAATGCCTGCAGCCGGCATTGGTCAATAGAAAGGGCCCAATTCTTCTGCATGACAATGCCCAACTGCATGTCGCACAAACAATGCTTCAAAAGTTGAATGAATTGGGCTAGGAAGTTCTGCCTCATCTGCCATATTCACCTGATCTCTTGCCAACCGACCACCACTTCTTCAAGCATCTCGACAACTTTTTGCAGGAAAAACACTTCCACAACCAGCAGGATGCAGAAAATGCTTTCTAAGAGTTCATGGAGTCCCAAAGCATGAATTTGTACGCTACAGGAATACATAAACTTATTTCTCATTGGCAAAAATGTGTTGATTGTAATGGTTCCTGTTTTGATTAATAAAGATGTGTTTGAACATAGTTATAATGATTTAAAATTCACAGGTCCAAAACTGCAATTACTTTTGCACCAACGTATACCTTGTTAGAAGACTGTACCAAATTAAACCACCAACAAATTTTTTCCCCTTATCTCCTTGACACCATTTAATATTCTCAAAGTTTTTAAAAATTGTTTTTTCAATATGAATAAAAAAGAGTATCTCATTTTAATTTCCCTTTTTATAGTGAGGTTGCACATTTTTTGGTATGTTTAACTATCATTTTTATTTCTTCTATGAACTGTTAATAATCTTTTTTGTTTGTTTCTTTTGTTTCTTTAACTTTTTCTCAATTTACAGAATCTTTATGTATTGTGAATGATCCTTCTGTCTGGCATGCTGGCAGCAATTCTCCTATCTTTACCTTTATATTGTGTTTTGATTCTCCTTTATAACGACCTCTGCATTTACTCTCCTGCTTAGAAGGTCTTTCCCCACCCAATAATGTAAAAAAAAAAAAAAGGCAAAAAAGACAGATAATGTTTTCCTTCTCTTTTAGACATATTCTATTTAAACATATTACTTGTGTTGTCTCATTTAATTACTAGTAGTCAAATTTATTTAGTAGTCAAATTGAAACAGTGATGTGGAAAAGTTAAATAACTTGCCAAAGGTCACGCTGTTAATAACAGGGGAAGGCAGCATTTGAAATGAGGCCACCTGACTCCAGGGCACAAACAGATGAAGATGGAAAACAAGCACCTTTTTCTACCACTAAGTCTGCCAAATCTGCATCTTTTCCTTGAACTTTCTGCCTTTGCTTGACTATAAGAGGAGACAGGTTCCTGCATCCATCCAGGGCAAAGTCTCTTCTTGTCCTCTGGACTTGCAGTCCCTAATCCCCAGGCCAAGGCCTGGTACCATCTGTTAGGTACCCGGGCCTGTTAGGAACCAGGCAGTGCATCATTGCCTTAGCTCCACCTCCCCACCCGCCCTAGCCTTGTCTGTGGAAAAATTGTCTTCTGTGAAACTTAGGAACCTGGCCACACAGCAGGATGTGAGCAGCGGGCTAGCCAGCAAAGCTTCATCTGTATTTACAGCTGCTCCCCATAGCTCACATAGCCACCCCATGCCTATGTCCCGCACGTCCCCACGTCCGTGGAAAAATTGTCTTGTCTTCCATGAAACCAGTCCCTGGTGCCAAAAAGGTTGGGGGTCATTTCTGGACTGTGGTCTCCTCCAATCTACACCAGGTGTGGGTTCCTAAAAGTATGAATTCTCACTGCATCTTCACTTCTTTCCTTAACTTTTGAATCTTTCCCATCCACATGCAAACATATCTTTATATGGCCCATGTTAAAAACAAAACAAAACAAAAATTTTCACCTCTTCAGAACTCCCTCCAAGCACTTTGCCATTTCTCTGCTTCTCTTTAAGGCAAAACTTCCCAAAAGGCTGTGTTTACTGCTTATACCTCTCTCTTATTCCCTCTGGCCAACTCTCACAATACTGAAGTGGCTCTTGTCAAGGCTCTTTCGACATCCACCTTGTTAACCCCAAGGCCACTTGCTCCACCCCAGCGGTATGTGGTACAGCTGACCCTTCACCTCTGATTGACTATTGTCTTGTGGCACCTGTCACTTGCACTCTCCTTGTCTTCCCACTGCCTCACGGGAAGCTTCTCGGTCCTTTGCCAGCCTGTCATTCTCTTCCGTCCAAGGCCTGAATACTGCAGAGCCTCAGGGCTATTTCCTTGGTTTCTTCTTTTCTCCATATATGTTCTTTCTCTAGGTGGTCTGGTCCAGCACCAGGGCTTTAAATACTGTCTATATACTGAAGAATTTCAATATGTCTTGCTGTTTGTCATATCTCTACTGAATTCCAGACTGTAAACCAATCAATCTCCACTCAGATGCCTAATAGTTGATAACCAGCACTTGATTTACATATATACATTGGCTCATTTAATGCTCAAATATGCATATATTAATATATACATGCACACACATCTATCTCTGTCTTTATCTTTGTATCTACCTATGTATGTGTATGAGAGATGGGTTATATATGTGTGAATATTTAAAGTGTATTTGTTTTGTTATGTTTTGAGCATTACTGAAATTATTATTATTATTATTTTTTTTAATTTTAATTTTTTTTTTTTGAGACAGAGTCTGGCTCTGTTGCCCTGGCTAGAGTGCCGTGGCATCAGCCTAGCTCACAGCAACCTCAAACTCTCGGGCTCAAGCCACCCTCCTGCCTCAGCATCCTGAGTAGCTGGGACTACAGGCATGTGCCACCATGCCCAGGCAATCTATATATTTTTAGTCATCCAGACAATTTCTTTCTATTTTTAGTAGAGACGGGGTCTCACTCTTGCTCAGAGCTGGTTTCGAACTCCTGACCTTGAGTGATCCACCCGCCTCGGCCTCCCAGAGAGCTAGGATTACAGGCGTGAGCCACCGCGCCCGGCCTACTGAAATTATTAATGTATCATCCTGGATGTTCTCTTGTAGGATATTGTAATGTGTTTGCCATATTATGTGAGAATATTTATTTTTACCATAGGAAATAAATAAATTCACCTTGTAAGACATTAGTCAAATACTATGTGCTTGGTATGGATTATGATTAAGTCAATAACTTGTGAGATATAGATAGACAGAATTCATAAGCTATATTAATTAAATTTAAGGAATTTACTAAGAATAGCACGTTTGTCTTTGATTGTAGATAGAAAATGATGCAAAGAGGAAGATACAGTACATTTTGTCCTAAACGCTGGCAGTACTTGAGTCCTTCTACTGAAGGCAGGTACCTTGCTGGGGAGTCTTCCTCCAACCTTATGGGCTGAGTAGTGTAATCCACCAGTGTAGCCTACTGTAGCCTACTGAGGGGCCCCAGCATCACTGGAAATGGCAGTTTCTATAAGACATACTGAGGTAAGAGGGTAGGTTCAGCTCACTTCACCTGCCAATGTGTTTCTCCAGTGGCTTTCTGTTAGATGCCTTCAGATAGCCATGGGCTCTGTGCTTTCTGAATAACGTTCTGGAGGCCAGAAAGGATCACCTCCCTGGAGCCTCTCAAACAGTCCCCCAATGCTAAAGACAAGAAAGCCCCTGGAACTTGCAGCCTTGTAGGCTTCTAAGATTCTTTTAGATACTGTCAGCTCTCCTATTCTAGTTGTTCAGTCTCTACATAGTAGCAAGTGAGAGGAAAGGAAGTTGGCACTTTCTGTAAGGTCTCTGTCTTCATTCCAAGTCTTTTAACTTTTCTTTTATGCATTTCATCTCCCGATTTTCTTATGCAGTATTCTGGGGTAATCCCTCAGTGTGATAACTAAAGTGAATTTCCTTAGTCCAAATTGCAGCCTCCATTCCCCTATCAGTGAATACAAGCTCTTCAAGGTTATGAAGGGATTTAGAGGGGTGTGATGTCAGGGAGGGTGAGTATGTAGCTTATTTTCTGGACTCTAAGAGTCTCTGGCCTTCTTTACACTCATAAGTTATCTGAAGTTATCCTTCTTTTCTTACCCGGAACCCACTTTGGCAATCTCCTGTTTGTTAACGATATACTGTCAATTTCACACTCTTCCCAAACGTAACTTTGGTTTCTTCCTCCAGAATATTCACTCTGGGCACACTGTACAGTCAGATCATTATCAGAAAGAAGTTCTCAGGACAACTGAGAATGATTCTAAAGAAGATTAAGTTGAATCTATACCTTACGCTGAAAACTAGCATAAACTCCAACATGTCAGGAATGAATATATAAAAACAAAACCCTACAAGTTTAAAAAGAAAACATGGATGGATAACCTTTCTATGATTCAAAATCTAGATGCCATAAGAATGATCAATTTGATTACATAAAAATATTAATTTTAAATGGCAAAAATCATATTATAAGCAAAGTCGTGCCACAAATGACAACCTAGGAAAAATAACCGAAAGTCATGTCATAGGCAAAGGATCAGTCTCCTTAATTTATGAATACTTTATTGACATTGAACAAAAGATGAAGAACTATGCAATAGAAAAACTGTCAAGGAAACCCATGAGATAATGTTGGACTGTAGTGTACCCATTTGGATTATATGTTTTTACCTGATAAAGCAATGGCACAGAGTCTGCTTCGTTCATGTGGAAGACTCCATTTTTCCCAAACTGCAAACTGACCCCCAAATCCTGAGCCCTGAAATAAAAAATGATTAGGATTTTTGATGTATGGTGCCATGTAGAAATTCACATCTAGCTCAGATTTAGAAAAATTGAGTACCTGGCTTAGGCCGTGGACTATTCGAGTTACAATGAGGGAAGTTAATCCAAAGTCAACAGCCAGAGGGGTGCAAAGGGTGAGAAGCGAAGATACAAACAAAGAGAAACCAAACACTCGCTTCGTTCCTACTCTTCCAGCCAGGTATCCACTGAGAGCCAGTGTCAGAATCATGCCATAGCTGAGAGAGCTGAAGATGATGCCTTGAATTTGGGGGCTCCAGTCATACGAAGGAGCCTTAGAGAAACAGAGAATGCTATAATAAACCATATACATATTCTTATATTCTCTAAGAAGCTTCTTTAGATTTTTCACTTGCTTTCAAATTATTATTTTCTCAATTAAAATTTTTGAACATATAAACTCTAGAAAAATAAATATCCAAACAAACAAACAGCAAAAACAAGTGCACAAATTTAAATTTTGCATTGCTTACCCTTGCAGGAAGACTCTTTGGAGTATTATTCGGACCACCAAATGAATCAATAGGCAGCCCCTCTGTGGAGCTGTTGAGCTGGGATTGATGGTCTGTGCTGTTGACCATGGCTACCATGGTGATGTACATGATAATATTTTGTGTTACCAGTGACAAGTTGCAGAAATGTAGGATAAGGGCTAACCCATAGCGAGTGGAACATAAGCCTGGAACTGAAATATTATGACATCACATTAGTGCTTTTTTATTGAGTCAACATTAGTTGTTCACAAGATATAATACAAAAAGATATTGCATATCATCACCTGATGATTTAAATGACACTTATACTGGCTTTAGGAAAGAAGATACAAAAAGAAGAGATCATTGAGATGAGCCAAAGGGCTTTTTATACTACAGCTTTATAGAGTAGGGCATTCTGTCCTTCCTGTGATTTTGTCTCTTCCATTCCTAGGTCATCATGTTCTATAGTTGATGAAATTACTCACAAGGAAATTTATATAAATTTGTGTATATATATATATATATACAAATATATTAAAAGTAAATGTATACATATAAATACACATACATATTTAAATTACTATATAATTTATAATATATTACATATAATCTGCATATATAATTATATATACATGTATGCAATATATACATCACATAGTACAAATATTACATATATATGTTATGTATAATGTACATAAATTTTATACATATAAATAAAATGTAATTTAAACTTTGAGGGAGTTCTTCATTGGTGTAGATGACTATTCCACTCAAATCTTCAGATATTGAGGACAAACTTTCATATAAATTTGAAGATTAAATCCCTATAAAGATTTTCTCATTAGAGAAATTGGCAGCCACAAACTTTGAAAAAATAAAGTGAAAAAATAGTGGACAAAGAAATGAGCACAGCATTCAAATAATCTGTAATTGTACATCAAGGAAAGATGGCAACTTAAAAGCAGAAATCTCATTCTCCCTTTCTCAGATCCTGGCTGCATTGTCCAAAAAATGTAAAACATGGTGAAATTAGCTTTTGTGATGGAAATTAAGAATACAATTGTTTAGAAGTTGAAATGTGAAAAAAATCAATTAGATGAGATCAAATGGTACAAAAATGTCAAAGGTTAGCTCTCTACTCAGCTTCTTCCAAAGTCTTGCGGCATTATATTAAGTGAGTAGAAGATATCCTGGCAGAACATAGCTAACAGTTTAATTTGAAGCAGAAATAAAATGTTTGTGGCAGGAAGCTATATTTACCTGATCTCAGATTTCTTTTAAAAAACTTCAGGCAGATGAGGCTTTTGGAACTCTCTCCACTGCCTTCACTTTTTTCCTCATGGGGAGAAAAGGGACTTAAATCAAGTAGTTTAGGTAAATAAATTGAGTATGTATAGCTCAGCATCCTTTCCAGCCTTCCTGGAAGCTGTCTATTCTACCATTCAGCTACTAATACTTTAGCAGAGCAAGCCTGGGCTTGTCCAGTTCATCCTATGCCTGGATAGGTAATTCTGTTCAATTCAGAAAAAATAGCAGGGAGCTGGACAGATGACTCTTTTAAGCCATGTCTGCCAGTACAGATTTTATATCTTCAATCAATCATTGAACAAAATATTGATCACTCCCAATATCAGGCTACAGAGGTGTAGCAGCAAACAAAGTAGATATATGGGTCTGTGTTTGTGGACCTCACTTTTCAGGGAGAAGCACAAAATATGGAACACAAAACAGTAAATTATATAATGTATTAGAGCGTGATAAGTGCTGTGTAGAAAATGAAGCGAGAAAGGACAAAGTCCTAATGACATACCAGAGAGTTGGTCATGCAGATGTCTGGTGAAAGAGCACACTACATAGAGGGAACAGCTTGGCGGCTAGACGGAGATTGCCTGGTGTGTTCAAAGAACCAAAAAGAGTTGAATATGACAGAGTGGAGTGAGCCTGGAGGTAGAAGAGCCGATATGAGGAAAGAGAGAATGGGGCATGAATCCCTCAAGGCCAGGTGGGCCATTGCAGGTATTTTGGCTTTTACTTTGAATAGGATGGCAGCTGCTGGAGGGTTTTAAGCAGAAGTGGGACATGATATGACTTACATTTTGAGGGGATCTCTTTGCCTTCAGAATTTAGAACAAAATGATAGGGAGGAAATGCAATTAGGAAGCTTTTGCAATAATCCAAAAGAGAAGTGAAACTAGCTTGCGCTGGGCTGGTGGCAATAGCTAGGATGTGATCAGATCCTAGGCAAATCCCAGCATGGAAAAAACACCAAATAAGAGGTTCAATTTTACAGATGGGCGGAGGGCAAGGAGGAGGGGAATTGGAGAGGTTTTTATTCTAAACAACTGGAAGAAGGGACTTGTGCTTCACTAGGAAGAGAGTTCTGTGGAAGGAGCAGGTTTGGGAGGTGGGGTGATCAAGAGCCTGTTATTGGACATGTTAAAACAGAGACGCCTCTTAGGTACCCAAGAGAAGGTGTTGAGAATATTGTTGGATATAAAACTCTAGAGTTTAGAAGAGAGAGAGGAGTTGAGGCATAACATTAGGAGTTAATATACAGAGGATACTTAAAGCCATGAGAATGGGGAAGTGGAAATAAATAGAGAAGAGAACCAAAGACTAACTCTGGGGCTCTCCACTGTTTAGAGGTTGAATAAATGGGGGAGGAGCCAACAAAAGAAAGTGAAAAGGAATGGTTAGTAAGATGGGAAGAGAACCAGGAGATTATGGTGTGCTGGAAGCAGGGGACGAGGATTTCAGGGATAAGGGAATCAGTCAGTGTGTCAGATGTTCCTGTTGGGTCACATAACATGATGCCTGAGAATTGACTCATTAAATCCTCACAATAACACTGTGAGGCAGCTACCATGGCTATCCCAACTTTACAGATGAAGAAACAAAGGCGCAGAGAGGCCAGCTCATGATGTAGCTCTGGTGTCTATCTCTTAACCACTGTACCACATGTATATGGTAGCTTTGTTTTGTCCCAGATGATCACATGAGAATACCTCTGCTACAACCCAAGTGCAATCATCTGTAGGGTTTATGTGGTTATATGATGTGGAGGGGGCACTCCCTGTGTCTTCGAGAAGTCCTTAAAACTTCAAGGAAGGAAGTGCCTTGAGATTAATCAAAGAGGCTTCCCCTCAAGGCTATGCTATCATCTCTTTATGGAGTACAAGTCTTTGTAGTGAATGGGGGCAGAAGAAGAAATTTGGAGAAAACTGGAAAATATACTGAATTAGAATGAGGAACTCAAATATATCTTTGTAAAGGTTTTTCTTTCCGATTCGGGGCTAGGTGGTGACTGACTATATCAATCAAATCAACTAATAATTTGTAAGTTCTTGTGGTCTATAATTTCCCCAAGTTGCCTTGGGATTCTAGATGTTAAAGTCTACTCAAAAGGTATTAACAAACCAAGAGACTGATAGTTTACAAATGAGGAGATTGAACACCTGCCTCATGAGATTGCTGAAAGATTAACTAGAGAGTGTATTTAAAAGGCTTAGCCTGGTGCTTGCTAGATGTTAAGTATTCCCTACAGACTACTGTTTGTATCCCTAAAACTTATTTGTGTCCTGTGTCTATTCTGAATGAATTGTACCAGTTGTGTCTATTTTAATAGATTGGCGCCAGTACTATGCTGTCTGTTAAATGCTTTCAGTGATCATTCCTAGCTATATGAGAATGTGTGAGTTTGTATGTGTATGAGAAAGTGTGAATTAATAAATATTTGAGGGCATAGTATTTAACCACTGAAAGAGGGCATTGACATGACGAAATCACGGACTGTTGAAACTGGGAGGCTATATTGATGAATTCAGTGCTACTTTAATCAGAATCCCAGATGCTTGTTTTTTAACTTGATGTGACAGAGAAACCCTAAGGGGACTCCCAGTAATTTCCACCACATGGTCTTCTCACATTGGTGTAATTCAGCTTGATTCCTTGCTTCCAATCTATTCTCAGTGTAGAAGTTGGAGTCCTCTTGTTATATCAGAAATAAAACCACCTCTTCTGCTTAAAATCCTCCATGTGATTTCATTTTTGTTCAGATTAAAAACTAAAGGTCTCTATAGTGATCAATGGAAATGAAATATGTAAAATCTTTGCCTTACAATTTTCATTTCTTGGGAATAAGCCCGGAGGAAATAATTCCAAATGTGGACAAGTGTTATGTTAAAGAATGTTCATATATTGTATATATAATAGCGGTCATATATAGTTCATATACATATATTAGTCAAGTAACATATGTAATTCATATATACATATGATAGCCAAGTAACAAAACAAAACCCCACAACTTAAATATCCAATCACAAGAAGATTTTTCAGGTAAATCATACTTTGTCTATTAGATATGTTGGAATATAATACGTATCCTTTAGAATAATGTTTGTGAATAGTATAAAGCAATATGGAAAAGTATGTTGCCAAGTTAAAAAAAATAACATAATATATGCAGTATAGAACTATGAAAAATGTATATAAAATGAAGGCAATAAAAACAAATTATATTGGTTAATTTAAGATTATGAAAATCTTTTCATTTCTTGATTTTTGAAGTTTCTAGAATTAGTTTTTCTTACATTACTTAATTAAGCAATACAATTATGTTTAAAATATTACATGTAATCACAGGCAGAAAACACACATGATGGGTAAACAATTTGGTTGCAATTATCAAGAATGTAAGTGAATATGGATAAAGATTAGCAGGTAACTGTCAAAAATAAAAGCTCTTTTTCAGAATAGCAGTATTTATTTCTTTCATGGTTGCAAAATGTGCATTAAAGTTACTATATTTTTAAAAAGAATTGAACAACTTAAAAGTTATAAATTCATTTCCTTGTATTAATACTTTTCAGAAAAGAATCCACTGAAAAATTCTGAAACCAAACAGTTGAGGTCAAATTTACCTTTGCTGGGGATGAGTTTCTTGTCCACTTGCATATCTTGGGAGTACTTACTCTCCCCTTCTACGGGGCTCAACTCTGTCATGGTGGCCATTGCATTTCTCCTCTCCTGGTGAATGGTTTTCACCTATTAGGATAATATGTAATCCACATGTGTCAGTCAAGAGAAAGGGACTCCTTTGAAACATTTAAACAGTGAGCACCAAGAAAACAAAAGCTGGCCCATTCCATTTGGTTGGGGTACAGGGAGCTCATTACCCCCTCTTGGCTCAACATGACAGGCATACTACACCTAAGGCTTGGAACTGTTTACTATTTAGGATCTAGAGTGCTCACCATGTGACAGTCTACAAGCTCTGGCTTTGGAGCTAGGCATTCCCAAGTTCAAATTCAGGCTGGTGATTTACCCACTGTGCCAAGTACCACCAGGAGCAAATTTGTATAATTCAGTTTCCCCATCTGTTTTTAATAACAACAGCATCTTCATCAAAAAGTTGTTGTAAGGCTTAAATAGATTGCACATGCCAAACACAGTGCCAGGCACTCTCAGTGGTAGCTGTATAATGCCATCTACATACATAATACTGTATTATTGTCATGATTGCTGGAGCTACCACAGATGTGTGTCACTTCAGAGCTATGCTCCTCTGGAATCCTCTACCTGCACCTGAGAACCTGGCTTCTGGTGCCCTTTACAATTCCTATACTGCTTCCTCATTTGACCCACTGTGAATGTTGCTGATATGTGTGTCGCTAATAATTGGGGGCCAAATTTGAGTAATGAGATGATAACATTCAAACCCATATTATTATTGTCTATAGGTTGATGATGTGTCTACAGAGGTCTAAAAATAACTAACATGGAGGTCCTGATCTTTCTGCATATAAGAGAACTAAAAAAATCATTACTACTGTACAATATTAGGTTCTTTAATGCCCAAAGGAGTATGTGGTACTGAGTGTGCTAAATTTATTAAATTTATGAAACTTTTAAAGAAAAAGTTTCAAATGTGTAACAGCATATACCACTAATAAACCAAATGTATAGATATATGCATTCATTTCTCTTAGATAAATACTTAGAAATGGAATATCTGGATCATATGATAAATGTATGACTACCTTTTTTAGAAAATGGCAAACTGTTTTCAGAATGGTTGTACCATTTTACATTTCCACTAACAGGGTATGAGAGTTCCAGATCCTCTATATATTCACCAACTTAGTATGGTAAGTATTTTAAAGTTTAGACATTTTCCAAGGCATGTAGTAATATTTCATCACGGTTTTAGTTTGCATTTCTCTAATGAAGTTGAACATCTTTTCATGGACTTGTTTGCCGTCAATAATATATCTTCTTTAGGGAAATGTCTCTTCAAATCTTAGCATTGGACCTTCTAATGCCATGATGTGGCCAGGCCATTTTTAAAATAGGCCTTTCGTTTCTAGGGAAATTGCCCTGATTGTACACTCAAAGATCTTTTGGGAAATATTTTACCAAATGACAAAGATCAGGCCACCTGCATTGTCCTGTGCAACCTGGCAATGCTGAGTAGGAATATGTTGTTTCCATTAACAGTTTTTCTCCTTGAGTGATATTTATTCTCACTCCCCTGCTCCTTTAGGATGTCATTTAATGTGACTCAATGGCTGTGAGATTTTACCACCTCCTACCGTGGGGCCCTGCTTGAACTGAAACATTCTGCAAGTCGAGTTTCTATTCTGAAGCTACTCCAAAATTATCCCGAGTTAAGTAGCTGTGGGAGTTGCCCAAATCTATGGCCTCTTCACAGAGCATCAGCCTCTACATTCTTGTTCTTGGTTATATGACGGAAAGACTGATTGCTGGATTATCAGTGACGGGCCAAGAAGATTGCTTTGTGAGAACCTGATACTTGGCTGACACCCCTACAATTTGGACCCATGACTGCCTGAAATGAACAGTATTTCTTTTGTAAACAGGGTCTGTTTGATTAATGTTATAAACATCCTCTTTCTTAACAGGTAGTTTTGATTATGAAGTTGCTTTCAACTGACACATAGCTTGAAAAACTGACACCATATACGTAATCAGCAGGAAAAATGAAGATAAAAATTGAAGACCAAAATGTCATCCCTGGCCGGGCACCGTGGCTCATACCCATTAATCCTAGCACTTCAGGAGGCCGAGGCAGGAAGATTACTTGAGGCCAGGAGTTTGAGACCAGCCTGAGCAAGAGCGAGATCCTCCTGTCTACCACAAAATAGAGAAAAATTAGCCAGGCATAGTGGCTGGCACCTGTAGTCCCAGTTACTTGGTATGCTGAAGCAAAAAGATTGCTTGAGCCCAGGAGTTGGAGGTTGCAATGAGCTATGATGACACCACTGCACTCTGGCCTGCGCAACAGAGCAAGACTCTGTCTCAAAAAAAAAAAAAAAAAAAAAGAAAGAAAGAAAAATCATCTCTTAACAGCTGAATCTGAGTTCAAAAATGACATGCACATCATTTTTGAATACACTCAATATTAGCAGCCAAAGTTGGTGGGGTAAGACTCCGAGTTCCCTGAACTATTGATATTGGAACAGGTCCTTCATTTCCCCTTCCTTAGACGCTTAGATGAGGGCTACATGATACCTGACAGTTGTCTCATTAAAGAAATTCAATAATTTCTAGATAAGAGGATGGTTGGCTTTTTGTGAAAAAAGGTTAAATGGAGGTCCTAAAAAAAGAAATCAGACAACCAAACAGACATTTCCAAGAATATTAAGTTATATCAGAGGGCAAAAGTATGTAATGTAAGTAGATTAAGGCACAGCAGAACCTTAATTGAGTTAGGAAAACACAAAAGGGAACCCCAAGACAGGTCCTCAGAAAGGGTAGTGCATGGTAAGGCAACGGTGTACTGAAACTAGCTCATCTGAGCCCCAGAAATCTGATTAAATAATTTTTTTAAGGAATTTTGCAAGCTACTTGTTGAAAACAGCCATTGACAATTAAATTATGTGAATTTAGAATTCAATAAATTATATTTTAGAAAAGTAGTAAATATTTGAAACTTATCACTTCATAATTATTTCATTAGATTTTACTGTAAGCTCTGCTCTTGAGGTTGCTTTTGTCTCTTGTATCTCTATGGTGGGAATACTGTATAAAAGTGTGCTATTGCATACCTCTCCTCAAGTCTAAATTCAGTGACGTCATCATGATAGGAGCTCTAACACCAAAAACAAAAACAAAAAAATGGCAAAGCCTACAAATTTGGGCTTGATTTACTGTTTTGTTGACTTCTTGGACTTAAGAAATTTATCAGCTCTTTTTCTGTTGCCACAGGGGGTCCGGTTGTCATCTGTCATGTATATATCATGCTTGGTAAACCTATGTTTTGCTCTTGCTCTATAATCCTATCTTGCTCCCCCTCAATAAACTTCACCTCATGCTTGCCTTCCTTTGGTGTGTCTGGTTATTCTTTGGCCATGAGTGCACTAAGAACCAACATTTTAAACTAAAACCTGACAGAGGGTCTAAACTAATTCCATCTTTCCAAACTGGCTCTTGTGATCTCACATGCCTCCTCTTTCCCAATAGTCCCTGGGCCTAGAAGGAGGATATTTGAACAGGGTGTTGGCAGATTGAATAGTTTTAGGTTCTGGAGATATCAGGTAAACTTGCCATTTACCTAAAACTTGTCAGGACTCTGGAAAACAAAACAAGAGAATCAGTAATGCTCTAAATAAAAAGTCATAAAAAAATTTAGTTTGGTTCCATGCAATTAATTTCTCTTCTGTTTGAGGTTGAGTTAGGGATACTCATGGACATATCAGCCTTCTAATTAAAGTCCTGGAAGGTTGTTTTATTTTAGTCTGATGGTATGTATCTCCAAAGTTATCAGAAGCCTATATTCAAGAGAACTTGTCAGTCCTTTCCACAACTTTCCTTGAAGAAGTAAACTTTGGATTTAGCCAGTTTCAAAAAACACTTTCTGGCCGGGCGCGGTGGCTCACGCCTGTAATCCTAGCACTCTGGGAGGCTGAGGCGGGCGGATTGTTTGAGCTCAGGAGTTCAAGACCAGCCTGAACAAGAGCAAGACCCCGTCTCTACTAAAAATTAGAAAGAAATTAATCGGACAACTAAAAATATATAGAAAAAATTAGCCGGGCATGGTGGCGCATGCCTGTAGTCCCAGCTACTTGGGAGGCTGAGGCAGAAGGATCGCTTGAGCTCAGGAGTTTGAGGTTGCTGTGAGCTAGGCTGACGCCATGGCACTCTAGCCCGGGCAACAGAGTGACACTCTGTCTCAAAAAAAAAAAAAAACTCTTTCTGAGATGAATCAAAGTAAAACAAAAACTCTTAGACTAGTCATGGTTAAACAGACAACTGACAAATAAAGCTGGTTATTTTTATGGCATACGGCAATTTAACGTAATAACCATAATTGTTGATAACACCAAGATATATCAATATTTATAATATTGGACCATATATTAATAACATTCTTATGCGAATATAACCCAAAGAAAGCTAAACAGCATTTCATATTTGACAATGTTTCCTATATGGTTTTAACGTGCCAAATAAACCTAATGTCTGTCTTAGACTTTGAGTGGCCCTAATATATAAAATGCTAGTTTAAGGTCAGAAGGCTGGATTTAGAATATGGGTTTGGAAAGTTTGTCAAATATTAAAGACTTAAAACGTTTGTTCAAGTACAATCACAAGGCACTGTAAAACAAGAGTCATTTATTTAACCGAGAGATAGTCATCAAAAGATTCTGAAGGTGATAAAGTAAGTTATATGGGTGTAAACTTTAACCCTTTTAAAGTTTAGCTTTTCTAGTTAGTCAAAACCTAATAAAGAGAACACAGGGATTACACTGATAAAGCATAAAATCTTTGCTTCTTTTTAGGCCAGCTACTGAAAAGTAAAGAAAAACCTTCTGTAGTGCATTTTTTTTTTAATTAGAAAGAAAACAGGGTATAGAATCAAAATGAGTACATCATGTCATTTCATTAAGAGCAAATTAATATCTACAGAAAACTTTGTTTTAACCAAAATTTCTTTTTTAATTATAGCCAACTGGACCACATACAAAATTCCTTAATAAATTTCCTTTATA